GCTTTCATTCAACAACTTGACTACAATATCCGGGCTTCCTATTTCTACAAATTACCCCATGTTGCTCCTTCCCCCCCCCCCCCCGTCCCATTCATCATGGTGCTCTCATCGATCTCTGGGGATGAATAGATGGGATGCGATGTTTCAGGATTCTCGTCGCATTCACTAACTGACTCGTAGCTAATCGCATTAGCGCTCTCTTGGGTTGAGGCTATAGATATATCGATTTTTTCTCAATTTTCAGTATATTTCTACTGCATGTGGCCGAGGTGGCTAATCGCACCTTCATAATAGAATGAATAGATAATGATGTTTAAAGCCAAGATTTGAAAATTCAGCTTCATATAAAGACATTTGAGAAATTTCACAAAGAGCACAAACTTTTATGCTTTTTTCTCGCATGTTCGCAATTCTTCTATATTTTAATAGCTTTTTTTGAATCTATAGTATGTTCTTTATCATCCACCAATCAAACAATCATAAAATCAGAGATCTAATAATTCCCGACTGAATCTGATCCAGTGATCTTTGCTCATTTGAGAGAGTCGGCGTGGCTTTGCTCCACCCATCCCGGCGACATTCGCATGGCTGTTATATCGGGGAAATCACCCCTATGTAAACTTTCACCTTCCTGAAAAGTTTATAGGTTCAGCCCTGTATCTAGACTAAATCTCTGAAACTCATGTTTTGCGGAAATTGAAAGTTTTACGGCTCCCGGTAATAGCGCATCGTTATCAGTGTAAGAATAACATTTTTCATCGCTTTCATCTTTCCGACGATACTATTCTCGATTGTCATTTCACTGAATTCTATACCACATTTTGCTTTGGAAAAATTGCAGGATTTACAGGCTTCCCCTTTTCGGTGGGGAGTTACACGGCGTGTAGATTTTTTGTTTCGTCTAAAAGCTGAGATGAAAGAAATTCGGTGATAATTTGATCACATCTTTGATTCTTATTTTTGGATTCAAATGGATTCAATGATTAAGTAAATTCAATTTTCAAAATTCGATTCTATAATTTTTTCCCATCCTGTGCAGGGATTTTACAGCTAGTAGAATGAATGCAAAAAAAATGATTTTCTTCAAAGTTTTCTCCAATCGTATAAGCCTGTTATCTCATTCTACCTTGTATAGTCCTTGCAAAATTTGCCAAGATTGCCCCTTTTAAACTCTGATTATCGACAGTTCATGGATTCTCGGCTCCTTAACAATGCAAGCAATTTTTAAATATTTTATTTTTCTCTCGCGGATTCTGCATATTTCTGCCCTTCTCAGTCATCTTTGAGTGTCATTCTTCACCCTCTTCCTCTACACAATAACCATGACTGTTCTCCCTTTGTAACCCGTACGGCCTTTGCTTTTTTTGCACGGATCTCCGTAGAAGGAAGCACAAAATGGGCGAATGACTCATACGACCCGTATTGGATGTCTCTCCTAGCTACTGGTGCTTCAGTAAATAGCCTTCGCATCGATGATTAGCGGTCTCGCAGTGTATTTCGTAACCCTGCTTGATTACTAGCGATATAGAAGAGTACATTTATCTAAATGAAGAGGATTTCAAAGTTTCGGGTCCCTCTTTCTTTGAACCTGGGCATCGATTATTCTTCAGATATATGATGGTCTTTACTACTTGAATTGCTTTACTTACCAACATAGACCTTCTAAACACCTGCTTGGCTCAATACATATATTTGAAGAAATCTAGAGTTTGCGAAGCTTAGCTTTCCATGCAGGAAATTTTGTGATTTTCACTTTTTTGCCTTCCTTGAATTTTTCAGAAACATATTGGGTTCCTTAGATACCAGAGATGGCCTTACTCTAGGAAAGTTTTGGCAAACTAATTTTTTGCAGAGAATGCTTCTTTTTCCATCAAGAAGGATTTCTGGCATATTCTGATTTTTGACAGTTTCAGGCGCAAAAAACGTAGAATATAACAATATTTTAATCCAACTTAACTGCTCAGATTTGATATTAGAATTTTCTGGAGCTGATTTCGATCGTGTAGATCATCAGTGACGTAGAAAAGTACAGATAGTCTTCTTTCATGAAAAAAAATGAACGAGTGTGTTTTGCATGGAAGTTATCTTCTTCAAACGCACAAAGACAATCTGACAGCATTTCAACTCATTTCAACTACACAAAATAGATTTCAGGATTATTTACACCAAATTTTTCCCTTTTTAATATGGACTTTCCAGAATATTAGAGTAAAATAGAGTAATAAGTCAGGCCTTAAATAAACAGCTGGCTGCTAAATTGATTTTGAGTGGGCAAGTACAATACAATACATTAGTCAATAATAGTCAATACATTCCAATTGCGCAAAAAATTTTTAATTTTCACCAATTTTTTTCGCAAAACCTTTTTTTTTGAAAATTTAGGTCCCCGTACAGCTGCTTGCTAATTTGATTTTGAGCGTACAAGTCCTCAAGATGTGACGCAGATTTGAAATAAATCCACTTTAGAGTTTACATGCCTGTTCGACCATCTGCTACCCGGGTTTACGACATCCCTCTTGACCCCCGCATTGACAGTCGTTTGCTTGTGTTTACAAGTGGTGGCCATGGCTTCAGAGTTCATTCTTTTACATTTTTAATGGTCTTCTGATTTCTCTTCCTGGTTTAGAGGATCTTTGAGCTAACGAAGAGTACCTTTTGCGGCCCATATTCTCTAAAATGAAGAGGCCGTAGGAGATTTGTGCAATGATTCCAGCAGCACTCCTTATAAGTGCACTTTTCGTACAAAAGATAATTCGTCATTGATGCAATCTCCCCCCGTCGGTGTCCGTGTTTCTAGTGCTCGGCCTTGTCTCATGCAAATTTGCCGCGTAAATTTCGATGATTCGTGACAGAACGGCACAAAACGTTCGATTGCCTTTTTACAGCCGAACAATGCGTCCATCCTATTTTTGCAGGAATTATTTTAGGAATATAGGATCTTAGCGCTTAGAATGGAATAGGGATGTAAATGCATAGTGACCCGATTCGTTGAAATAAGCAATCGACAAACTGCTCCATTTTTAAGCTATCATTCCCCACACTCTATACTACACAGTCATCTCTTCTCAATGTGTGCGAATGCACGCTTTGCACTTATTGCACGTCGCATCCTAGGTTTTGGTTTATACATGAATAGACTGCACCTCTTTCCCCTTATTCCCAATTAAGCGTGCAAATATTCAGTCCCAGTCAGCCAATGTGAAGCCCACTAAACCAAACCCTTGGGAGAAAAAGTCTCTGAGAGGCCACCCGCTGCTTGCCTGCCCTTGAAGAGCTGGCTTCGTCTCCGCTCCCACCAAACCATGAATGACGCAAATAATCGTTGTAGCCGGGCAGTTCTCACGTCCTTTTTCGTAATGCAACCATAGTTTCCATTGCTACGCGTACAATTCTCCGCTCCTGCTTGTAATTTTTGCAAATTATTGTTGTGACGGTATAATTGATACTGTATTGCTGCGCTTGTGTGGGTGCACAAAGCGGCACCGAATTTTCCGTTTGAATTCGCGGAGTTAAAATGCGCATTTTGAATTTTTTAAATTTCAAGTTTAATTATTCGCCTGCGCTTTTTTCTTGCTCCTTATGAAGTTGTCTTTATCTGGTATGTTTGTTATGCTTCTTTCCATATTGCTTTTGTTCGCTAGTGGTTGTTTTATGTTTTGTATATTTGAATTTTTTTGCGAGTCCTTTTGTTTTTTGATTTTTACTTTGATATCGTATGAGAACTAGCTGTCTATGAATTTGATGGATTATTGTCATGAAAGTAATTGTTGTTTTTGAAGCTTTCTTCCTTAACATCTTTTTTTGTATTTACTTTGCACCGAAGAACCCTAAAAGTAATATAAGTTCGGTAATTAGCAAAATAGTACGCATTTATGGGCCCATAAGCATATTTGGACATATATGGACAGCAGAAAGAACTTGTGCAGAAATTGTGCGTTTAACCTCGAAGAACTTGTTCTCCATCACTGAGTATTCTTGAGCGTTAAAGGGTGTAGTTTTCATCCACTGAAGCTAATTTATATGGCAGAGTCTCTCATTTCCATTGAAGCAAACTTTTTTCTTATGTTATGCCGTTCTGCTGTAGCTTCTAATAACAAACAGCTGCGCTCTTGCTTTTGCGCCAATGTTTGGATTCACTTTTCTCAAAGAAATTACTCAAAAAGTCTTTTGCAAACACTACGTGACTGCATATAAATTCCTTCATCTCTCATGAACAAATTGCGAATTTTTATTGGGCAAGTTTGGCGGCCGCCTTTTATGATGTTTATGAAAAAGCTTTACCAGAAAAGTAAGTGCGTACTTTAATGTTTAGCCGCTACGTGCTCGTAAAAGTTTTCTCGATTTTTACGAGACTTGTCGAGCAAGTTCTTGTGTGCAGCAGGGTTTTCTAAGCAATGTAATTAGTGGCTGCAGATCTGACTTTCGGTCAAGATCTGTAGCTCTGCACACTCTATAATCCCAGTACCCTACCGGCAGTAAATTGTTTTTGCTTTGAGCACAAATATTTCCATCGGTATTTGCTGATCAATGTGAGGGGAGGGGGTGATGAGTGTTTCTAGCACTTGTCAGTGCATAAGTTTGATCCGACTTGTCACTCTTCATTACACTTCCCTTGAGATCTTCTGTTCGGTTTGATTTCCACTGCAGAGAATAAATTGTGTAATATAGTGTTGGAAAGGAACTCCAGAAAGAGAAAAAGTTTTTTGGGATTGTTGCCTTCAGCTTTATTTATCTTTGCAAAACTCTTTTATTGTCGTTTTCGGTCATTATTTATTTTTTTCCCTTTATAAGCAGAAAAAACCTGCATTTCTTTGCATAGCCTTTACCTTTTCTATAGGTACTTACCCCTCATTCCTACTCTTATTCAGTGAAATTTATATTGATTGTAAATGCAATCTCCATCCACTGCTAACTTGTGTATGTGATCTCTTTTCTTCTGCAGCCGTCAATTTTTACGATATCGGCGCTTGTCTCTGGACTCTCATTTGTTTACCCATTCCGTTTCAGATGTCGTTTGACGAGCTTTATGAGAGTTGTTTCCGAAATGCATCACTTGTGAAGGTCCCACATGGGAAGCCAGTCAGTTTAATCTTTGCTATAGAGACTAGCTGGATCGAGTAAAGTACCATATTTAGGCAAAAGATGACGCGTCTTTGCTGGTTACACTAGATTATGTGATGAACAGCAGTCAATACGTGGTGTTTTTTCTGACTGCTGGAGCAAAAGGCGCTGATCTGGGACTCAAGTTGGATAATATGATGAAGAAAAAGAATGAAAAAGGCGATAAGGACAAAGCGCAAAAGTTAGTTTACATCTCAAACTCTGTTAAATTGTTTCGTCTTCATGCCGAAGTATTTTTGAGAGCTTATACTACTCTGAACTTTTGATCTTTTATTCATTTGTTGGATGATTTAGACCAAAAATTGTCGATTTATTAAGCGTGTGTAGTTTCAACTAATCTCATCTCCACACATTTTTTCTTTGGATTCCTTCCATAAGCAGTGAACTTTGTATTTTTGAACTTGGTAGGGGTTTAGTTGATCTTCAACTTCTTCTGCAAGTTTTGGTTTTTCCTCGCTTCATATAGTACCTTTGGGGATATAACGAGAAACCACCATACGTCACAGCGGCATATACACTTGTGGTTTATGAGGTGCTTCGGGTTGTATGAATGTGAGAGCTCGCCAGGGTGATACTCGGCTTTACGACTACCTCGTTCAAAGTAGAAAATGTGATCTTCAAAGAATGGGATTGTAGGGGATACTTAACTTTCGCACATATGACCTACGATTGTGTTTTTCTGCGCATCGTATGTGCATCCATGGCAACCGAATCGGCTTGGTTGAGCCCAGGAAAAAGTAGTTTGATGTAGGGCACTGAATAACCTTTGCGTGAATGCTCAGAATGCCTCTTCCACCTATTCATTCATAGAAATGCAGTGTAGGTTTAAGACTGGCTGCCTAAGTCCATGCACTGGAATGAGTGAGTGTTGAGCCTCCAATGATGAGCGACCGGGCGTCATGCGGTGTGCGGATCAAAGCGGCCGCCGAAAGTGATGGATTCACCGACGCTGATCTCAGAACGCGATAACAAACGACAATCTTTAGCGAAGTAGCTTTGTGAAGAGTGGATTAGATAGTTAGCTTACGGTTGTGAGAGGATTGAAGTTTGAAATAATTTAGTCTTATGCTCAGAAGGTTTGATACTCTTGAAAGAGAGTTTAGATTATGGTCGAACAAAATCAGCTTCTTATTTCAGTTCTCCGGCTCGTCTCCGACGTTTCTTCTCTATGAAAAAGAAAAAGAAGAAGGACGGTAGCATCAATGGTGACTCCACGCTAATGTCTGTCGTCCTTGTGGACACCGATTATCGGTCCAATACAGAAGATGGTGGCTCATCACCACAATTGGCCCAGCCTGGTTGGTACGTCTACGCGCCGCAATTATTGGCTACAAAGGTTCGTTGTAAGGGTTTTTGTTTCGATTTTTTGGAGTTCATCGCTATCTTTCAGAGCCGATTGTTGCGAGCTCTCGGTTTTGAATTCCCACCATCGTTGATTGTAGTGGACACAGCGTCTAGAAGTGTAGTAACAACTGAAGGCCGGAGATTGTTGGCAGATGATGCGATGGGAACATCTTTCCCATGGTGGGTATATCGCAGATCTGTCTCCATTTGTCACCATTTTTCATTTCGGTTGACGTCCTTTTCTGCAGTTTTCATTTTTTGAAATACGATAACATCCATATTCATCTGACATCTGTATTACTTTTACATATTGGTATTGTAGGTGGCCGCCAGCTGCTGCTGATGTTCTCAAAGGAGACGTTCTGAAGCGAGTAAACGGGTCGGTAGAAACTGTCGATTTCTCTACGATCAAGACAACAGTGCGAGGACTGCTGTTTGGAGCACAATGGGTATGTTTCATAGTTAAAATGCGTTCAACCTTCGCTAATTTTTTTCGCAAAGAAATCATTTCGTTTAGTTATCTGATCTGTGAAACTTTTTGTTGATACCTTTGCTAAATATGACTTTTGAGCGGAGCAAGATACCCTGATCGATCTCATTGTCAGAAGTTCCTAAAAATGTTCTTTAGTGTCCACCATGCAGACAGTGGGTGAAGCAATTAACTCCAGTGTATGAACAAATGAAGAAGAATGGTGTTTCGTTGGAGATTGTATTCTGCTCTTCTGACAGATCTCAAGAAGCCTTTGATCACTTTGTTGAACAGGTGCAGCTCAACATTCCTCTTTGCCAACTGTTGAAAAGGTGTTGTTTAGATGCCGTGGTCAGCATTCACATATGATCCCGCTAGAACATTGGCGTTAACGAGAGTTTACAATATCAGTGGTATGTGAGATAGCGTTGGAGGTGTCTTGGAATTCCACACCAATTTTTTTGAAGGAATTCCTTCCCTGATCTTACTGGACCAAGCTGGGAAGGTCATCACGAATCACGGAAGATCGTCTTTACTTGAAGACCCAGCTGGACGATACTTTCCATGGAAACAGCGCCCCCTCTATGAACTGAATGAGTATACTGTTTGTCGGCTTAGGGATGAACCATCGCTCATACTGTTCACAGGTAATTTCGACCGCTGCAGTGGAATCTATATTACTCTACAACGAGCCTGACTTCCAGAAGGCTCTCCGGACGACATTCAGTTCTCTTTATCTGTCATGGATAAGGTGTCAAAGCGGCTATTCGAAGAGAGAATGAAAGTTGAAGAGCGAAGAGTGGAGGAAGCGGAAAATAAAACAGATGAAAATGCTGAACCAGGTTCTGGATTGAGAAACTCAGCTAGCAGCGAGGAGTGCAGGTTAATTCCTCGATCAATTTGTCAACGACTTTTCCCGTGCAGACTTCATCTCCTTTAAGCTCTACCGGTTCTGATCTACCCATCCCACCACAAGCTGATCCTTTACAGTTGCTATACACCGGCGAGGATCCCATCTGTGACCATGTAATTTCTTCAAAGTAGTTTTTGAAGACATCGCATATTCTTGTTGTAGATTTTGGAATCAATTCTTGGTCTGGGAGACTTCGAGCTTCCTTTGATCTGTATAGTCGATGGCTTGGCGGGTCAATTATGTGTCTGCGATCAGCCAGACGTATCGGAGACAGTTCTGGAAGAGTTTGTGGCGGATTACAGGGCAGGGCGGCTCCAGTGGACTCCTCTTCCTGCTGCGAGTCAAAATTCGGTACGTAATCTTTGTTCACTGTCAGTCTTGGTGTTAACGTTCGGTGGAGACTACGCTCTTTCAAATTAATTTGAAGTTTTTGCAAGCTTGTTACCCATAAGTTTTTGAGAATGGATTCAATTATTCACATTATCTGCTTACTTCTATGAAATGGTTTTCTTGTAGATCACTTTTAGAACTTTTGTCGAAAGTGATCTACATTTTGCCATTTTCAAGATTGTAAACTTGCACATTTTGTAGATTTGAATATTCTCGTCACATTTAAAAGAAAATTACTTTGATCGAGTGCTTTCAGTCCAAGACAGTCGGCGGCATCCCGAGTTCTATCATTGAGCAAGCACTCATTAGCAACTCTCCATCACAGAACTCCATAGGAGGCGGAAAAGAGGAAGTAAAAGCTGTATAACTCACTGTCGACCAACAAGCTCACAACAAGGATCACCTGACTTCAAAGCAACGGAATATCTCTTTTGTTATTATGCCCAGAACACTTCCTAGTGTATCTTTACACAGTCATGAAGCACTACTTATTTTGTGCTGAGTCTTCACTTGACCACAGACCGAGTGTTCTCCTATACGGGATTATTTTCTTTGATCGTGCACACTTCTGTATCGATATTGATGCTTTTCATTTTACTAACGCTCAGAATGTTTGCCGTAAGGAGTGATCGTTATGTTGATTCCTTGATAACTCTAAATTGGTAAGTGAACCTCTATTACTGTATCGAATCTTCTTCTGCGCTCACTCTTTTTTCTACACTCATGCATACTTCTGCTCGTTGGAATGTCATAGTCAGGCACTTTGTGTTGGCCGTTTAGCGAATGTATAGTTTGTGACTAACACTATGCTTAACTTCACATTCACGTATGTCTTGTAGTTAGATGGAAGTTGCTTATCTGAAAATTCTGAGATCCTCTCTGCTGTCTATTAAATCTATCTGTCTATCTATCTATCTACCTTTCTGCTATGATGAGTGCATAATTACGGTGTCTATAAATTGCTTGATAAAAATTGACATGAAAGCTTTAAGCTCAAAGTCACGGCCCTTCAACACATCTCAAAAGACTGAGTGTGGCAATTTACCTTAACTTGCAATTTTTGAAGTCTTCTTGATTTTATCCCAAATTTCTTCAGAGGGAAAGTTTAGACGATTCATCGCACGCAGAGTCGCGACGCCTTTGCGTTTGACAGATAGTCCGCGCATGGAAGAGACAACTGACGACAAGAGGAATGAGAGAGCGCTAGATTGGTGAGACGCCGGCAGCGTCTGTAGTCACGCTGCGTTTGCGTGCGAGAATCGCTGTAGATAGATGTAAATGTGGCAAAAAGTTATTTAGTCGATACTTACATTATAGGGTCAGAGCAAAGTCCTCGAACACGGTAATTTCATCGTAAGTACGAGACTAGGCAAGATGATTTCTTGGGACAATAATCGAAGTTTATACAACTGCCTACTGCATAAGATTATCCTAACAATTCAAAAATCCCTCCTTTGACCCACACACAAGCTCGAAAACGCCTGAGAAAGCTTTCCGCGGTGGCACGAAAGTACTCCACGACGATTTTCTCCCACGCATTCAGGAGAGCATGTCTCAGAGACTCAAAAATCTTGTGTAGGTGAGCGCAGACTTTGGCCTCAAGAACTGCCTGCGCTGTGGTCGAGGGCGGGAAATACGGAGACCATTTTGCAGGAGTAATGAAGTCCTTATGTTTTGGAGCATGCCAAAGCAGTGTTAAAAAGCCGCAGCACCTGCGCACAGACTGAAAGTCGTTCAAGCATGGCTCCAAAGCAATGTTCAAGGCAGCGTCCAGGCAATCTGGACATACGGAGTTCTGATGTGGAAAGCAATTTTGGGGCCCTAACTAGAATACTGCCCAAGCGGCAGCTCAAATGGTGAACTCACAGTTGAGATATTCGCCTCCATAGTGGACCCCGGGATCGTATTCGCATGGATTCGTGGCGCGACACGCGTGGTCCTCGTGCGGGACTGATGTGTCGCGCCATGCGAATACGATTCTGGGGTCCAGTTTGGAGGCGAATATTCTAACTGTGAGTTCACCATTTGAGCTGCCGCTTAGGCAGTGTTTTAGTTAGGGCTCCAAGACTACCCTTCAGCAGTTTTCCCCCGCCCATAAAGACCACCTTGTCAGAACATCAGTGTTAGATCTGAAGCGCTTTGCATATCAAATCGAAATGCAGATCTCTAGTTCCGCATTTAGTTGCTAGGTGGAGCTGTTGTAAAAAATGAGATGAAAGGGCAACTACTTGTAGATATGATCAACCGCGCAATGTATAATAACTCCAATTTATCTTCTTCAGACTGTACAGATAAGTAAAATATGTCAAACAACAAATCTTCAGTAGTAGATTTCAATTACTTCTACTGGTCGTGTCGCGCCATTCATTCTCTTAGTTAGAGCAAAACAGTACGCTTGGAACTTCGCTGTCCTCTATCTCCTCGTTGTCAACATTGGATTTTAGAAAGACTCATCCCCTTCTCCTTCGGAAATTATCATCTCTGAATCGTCACCACCCATGCTGAAAGGATCAAATTCGAAAATACAGCGCTTGAACCGATGCCAATTCATGATTACTGAACTATGTTGATGGATCTGTATGTAATATACCTGGTCGATGGACGAGTTATGTCGAATCCAGTAGTGGTAAAAGAGTCTTCAATAGGAGCTTCGTCGTTTTTCTGCTTGTCCATATCGTCTTTCATCGCTTCAGCTGCACGCAAAACAAACCGACCCTCTTCCGATATCTATCAAATACCACGATAGTCCTTTACTTAGCAGATATAGAAGTCAGCAACAGACAACTTACAGAATCATGCTCAAGACATTTCTGTCCATAATAAAACGCCTTCTCCACATCACGCTGTTCAAGGTAATGCTTGGCGAGAAATTGTACACAGTAAACAACATTTTCGCTCTCGCTTTCCTAGGATCATTTGGGTAAGGTTTGCATGAAGGAACGTGAACTCAGATTTGTACCTCCAATTCCTGGTATTCTCTTAGATACTCCTCATATGACCGTGCTGCTCGCTGCATCTGGTTTTCAGATTCGTATAACCTGGAAATGAAGATATGGAAGGGTAAATGCCACGACATAAACGTTATAAACTATTAAGTTATTTATGCAGATTCATACTTCGCCAGCATCCACAATGCGGTGCCCTCCACATCTCCATATTTGAATGCAGAGATGAAACATTTCTCTGCATTTCGAAGTCGACCCATTTTCTGGTAAACATCTCCGAGTGCCACTAGCATCCGCGAATCTTGCGGTCTGAAGAAAGATATTTGATAAACTAGAAAAAGTATTCGAGCACTAAACGTTAATGCACAAGTCAAGCATGAAAATAAGTACAATAGACCAACTTGCAGAGATGTGCTTGCTGGTAGTAGAAGAGCGAGTATGTCGGCATTTTTATTATGTCGTACATTTGACCGAGCCCATACCACCCTCGATAATCTTTTGGATCCACTTCTAGAATTGTTATATTACGCTTCCCGACTTTCTGAACAGCTATATCCAGAAAATATGAAGTCACTTATTCAAATATATCAAGCAAAATGGCCCAGCAAAGCTTACCGATAGCCCTTCTGTATGACATGCAAGCTGCTGCATTATTTTTCAGCTCCATGAACTCGTGGCCAACAAGCACCCAGATCGAGGCTACACTTGGATTCAATCTCAGCGCTCTTTGGAAGAACCGAATGGCTTGCTCGTTCTCCCGTCTAAGTCCATAATAATTACCTCAAATCAAAACATTTCCGAGAAGGATACAGCTTGATTTGAATAGTCACACCTACTATACAACACGTTTCGAAAGAGAATTTATGCGTTTCGAAGAAAGAATGAGCGAGATCACAGAGTTGCACACGATCACCCTGAAGGTAGCAAAAGAGGCTGGGACTAGAACAAGAGTGATAACATTATTTGTACCCGAATGTAAAGTGAATCCGAGTAGAGATTCATCTTGTCTATTCGAAGCGGATCCATAGCGCGGATTGATTTGAACACCTCCACGGTTTTTTCATGATCTAAGCGGGTGGGATGTATTCAGGAAAACGTGAAGAAAAGGGTAGACAAAATAGAAAATTAATCACCATGTAAATGATTTGAGCATGCAGCGATTTGAGTAAGAATCATTGGGATTCCGGGTAGGCCTCGCGATGTCAAATATTCTGCTTTCTTGAGTGCTTCGCTGAAAATGTATCTCATTCTAATGTTCTGCGCGATTCGGATGAAAGTAAATCAATGAGACATATCAGTTAAGGTACAATACATAATAAATACACCACTTATTGAAGTAAATGAACTAAACGAAATGTCGCAACATACTTGTCCATGTGAAAACGGGAGAGAGCCAAACTCTCGAACCAATCCGGCATCCATGACGACTCCACTGGTAGACTACATAAGGACTTACAAGCTGCAATCTAAAATCAAATCAGAATGTCCGCAAGATGCTGGAAGAAAATATAACGAATCCAAACTCTTACCTCATCAACTTTATCTATTAATTGTATAAGTTCCTCCCATGCCGGCCAAAAGCGGGAGTCCAATTTCAAAACTGCTTTCATGGTCGCAGCTGCTGTCTGCGTCACCCCCAAAGCGGCCTGGATTTTACCTTCTCTGGAAATGCAGCATATGTGCATACAGATTTTTTAGTTGGTGGGAAAACTAACAAATAGAGTAGAAATATATCGGATGAGCGATCTTCCTTCTCAATTTCTCGCAACAATTCTGCAAACCCGCGGTCATCACTATGCTCCACGGCCTTCCTATCTATAGCTTCAGCATCCTTCTCAAGACGAGACCTGATAGAGCCCTAAAATGATCTGACATTGCACTTTTTTGATAATTCAAAAGGATCTCACCAGATATTTGCTCCAATAGTACAAAAATCTCTCGACAGGTCCTAGGCCTTTGGACTTCTGCAGGAAAAATGATGCGCGAGCGAAGTCGCGATTTATAAGCAGATTTTTCCCAAAAAGAAGAGCACGGTTTCCTGGAGTCACAGTGGGCCATTGAACAGGGCACTAAAACCCATTCTATGAAAAAGACTGAAGAGATTCCTAAGGCTGCGTTCATACTGATCCCGAAATCCGCGAACAGTTCCTGCACAACGCTCAGTTCGAGTGCTGTACTGGAACTGTTCCCGAACTTCCGAATCAGTATGAACGCAGCCTAAGAGCTTACTGCACTGGAAGAAGAAGAGCCTGGGCTAAGGACATCAGCGGATGTTTCAGCATATTTACGAATCCATGCTTCGGGGCAATAAGCAAGAATTTCTAGAATCCTAAAATGAGAAAAAGTAGGGTCAAAAGATGAAAAACCAAAAAACCAAAATGATAATAGAAAAAAGACCGCTCACCATTTGCTCGTATCTGTCAGAAAGCGCTCATCACAACATGTAAGGAGCCATTGTAGATCCGAAACAAAAGTGTAGCCGTTGAGCTTTGTTGCCGGAACTTCAGAGATGGTCACATTTAAACTCATTGAGCTGCAATAATAGTTCACATTCACTCAAGCTGTAATAATAGTTCCTATGCGTTGCACAGTTGCAGAAAGTGCGAAAACATGGAAAAACTACCATATCCACTCAAAAATTCTAAAAACAAATTTGCACGAGTTCATTAGCTTGCATATTTGACAAAAGAATAATCTCATTGAAACTATCAATGAATTCCTTCCCACAAGTACAAAACCAAAAACATTTGAAATGAAAAATTCCTTCAGTTAAAGTAGTTCAATTTTTCAAATTCGAGCGCCGGCAGACGCGAAGTCTGCCATTGCGTACTTGAATGAAGGCGGTTTTTCGATGGAAATCAAATGGGAAATTCGATATTCATTGTCGCAAACATCTGTCGGTTGGGTTGGTTCATCTCTGTGCGCTGATGAAATCATTGTCACCTCTAGCAGTGTTGACCGTTTCCAAGTTCGTTGCTTTTTATCTTTGCTAGAAGGGATTCATGTTGCCAGCTTATAACTTTGTTCGGGGCCACTTGCACAGCTTGTTGAGCTTAGTGGTGACTTCACAATACAAGTTGTTGTTCAGCTCGGACTTGCTTTGACTTCTAGGTCTTCAACCTAGGTGATCAAGTCAGCGCATTTTGTGGCATCGAAACCTGAGAGTACCAGCTCGAATAAGTTGTCATGGGGTTTGATTTTTATAACAAAAATATTTACGAATGGAAATATAGGGGATGCCCAAAGTCAAAGTCTGCTTTCCAAATAAGTATACACAATCTGAAGAACATAAGACGCTGATTCCAAAACTGTCTTTGTTTTTGCCATGTGCCTCTAGGCGCTGAGTTATGAGTGTCACTCGGAACGAAAAGTGGTGGCAAAATCTAGGTAAAACCAGTGGTTTCGATCTTTACAGCCATCCAGTAAAGAAGTTTTGAGAACGAGTAGATTATACAAAAGGTTTTTATGCATAGAGTGCTCTGATATTCAAGGCTGGGGCATTGCGAAACTTGGACGGATTTGCACCATTGCGCTCAATTTTTCAAGCCAAAAAACGCATAACTCAGCGTATAGTGGCGCTTGGCAGATAGAAGAGACAGTTTTGGCATCAGTGTTTGATGCTTTCGGAATGGTATATATTTCAGTTGGAAAGTTTTCGACTTCGGGTCCTCCCCTTGTAAGTAATCATTCTCTCCATCGTTTACAAGTCAGAATTGCGAATGTGGCTAGACTCATTGATTTCGTCAGTGCACAAAGCTGAGCCAAAACTAGATTAGCTAAAAATATGCCGTACAACATGACACAAACAAACAGCAGCTTGTTGCTCTTTAGCAACATCGTCCAAAAAGAAGTGGTTTACACTAGTAAAACATACCGCTTCTTCATTCTTCAAACAAAATCGCTATGGTTCTCCCATCAGAAAAAATGCTAAAAAGGGTTAGAAGTTATTTGTAATAAAGATAGTAAGAATTAGGGGTAGCTTTTGAAGGTGAAATTTGATGACCTTCCGGTTTGATCATGATTTAAAGTCTGCGCAACCTTCTTCCCATAAGCTTCCATCCGCCAACTTTTAGGTCTTCTTCGCTGTAATGGTATTTCAGAGCTTTTTGTCCTTAATTTCATCTTCTGTTTCAGCTTTTAACCAAAAAGCCGCTGTGCGGCTTTGTATTGCGGGTCTTGTCTGGCACGATGAACTCAATTCCATCGTCTGGATTTCTTTCATCAATTCTTGATAATATGGATACACTAACAGCCCCATGTTTTTCACCTTTTCAAGCTATTCATGAAGACGATAGGGTGAGTTCTCTTTTTTTTGCATTTCTTTCGTGCCAATATCATTTTTTCTCTTCAGAGACAAGATTCACCTCTACTCAATCTGCCTAGTAATGTTCTAGATAACATAGTATCGTTCATACCACTGAAAGGTAAATAATCTTTGATTGGCTTTGTATTGATTCAGAATTTTAGTTCGTACCCTCCTGGTCGCTCCAGTATGTCGAGCCTTGCGAGATAGTGTTTACCGTTCAATAACGTCGGTTGCTTTCTACAAAACGCAGTTAGACGAGCTCAGCGATACTAGAATCAAGTACTTCTTGAGCATTCACGGTCATAAGATAACCGCCATCAATTTTGATTTATTCCGTTCAGTTGAAGACGAGGCAAGTCATATTTGCAATTTTTTTTTGCCTACAGACAAATTTCCCTAGTTCTTTTATGGTTCAGGCTTGCACACAATGGAATTGGCGCCAATCTGTGATAACTGCTGTGAAAATGTGCAGCAATCTTAGGGAGCTTGATATACTTGTATGTAAACGCCATCGACTAAGAGACACTGATCTGCTTACTGTGAGACTTTCTCAGTTTTTCTGATTTTCTTTTTAACCTATTCTTCAGTCTTCATTATCAACTTTAGATATTTCGAGAATGTCCTCAGCTTCAAGTTCTCTGTATCGACGCCCAATACTTGAGCGGGCACTGCTTCCAGGTTAGATTGGATGTTTCATTTTATTTCAAGTTGTCTTTGTCAATCCTTTATCAGATGAAATTACATAAAGGCTTTATGTTACACAGATTGACTCAAATGATGTGTTTTGCATGTTATAGGTCGCTCCAGTTGGTCTGCAACGTTTGGAGTTGGAGATGTGCTTGCGATTGTCCGAGCCGTCAATCAGATCGATATTTACTCGCCTCAAGAAATTAAAGGTGAATCTCTTGCTTTTCTCATGCTTACATATGTCTATTTTGTTTATATTCAGGTGCTTTACATCTCCGAGTTGAAAATATTGAAGGACTCTATAATCACAGGTTTGGTGAGCAATTTGAAAAATCTTCGAGATCTTTCGATTATTGCGAATCCGGAGACCGACTTGGGTAAGTTTCAGCTTCTTTTGATTACTCCTTTGGGCATGAGGTATCTCCTGTTTAGACCTTTCGGCATCTGGCTTAGCGCATTTGGCTCGTCTACCTCGGCTACAAAACCTTTGTCTTGAAGGTTTGGCAGCGGTTACCGATCGTTTTCTCTCCGTAAGTCAAGACAAATCGATTTTCCTTGTTGCTGTCACCCCTTTATTGTTTGTGCATTTTGTCTTTACATGCAGGAGTTGAGTGATGTATCCACGAACGCAGCCGCACGCAGCATCACTAGCCTTTCGCTTGCGTTTTGCTTCAACTTTAGTTCGTAAGTCTGAGTTGCTGAACTTGTAACTGCTCAGATCCATTTTCTTTACAGAGTTGGCCTCCAGCGGCTATCAAGAATGCCTAAATTGGACAGTTTGAATCTGGATGGGATTACCAAGAGAGAGATATCCTCTGGTCTCCTGAAAATCGCTGAGGAAGGTCGCCTAGCTAGGGTAAGCCTACTTTTACCTGATGCTGTTTGTAATTGCTATAACCAAGCCGGCTTTTCAAGGTATTGCTCGCAGAAGGCACAAACGTCGCAGCCGAGACCTTGCGAGAAATTTGCCGTGTTTCACCCAGATTGCGCTTACTGGATCTCAGCAACAATGACGTCGTAATGGATCTGAATATCGCGAATGAAATTGTTGGGCGATTCTTCGCCAGCTGCATAGCAGATTACTGCATGATTAACTATTCAGGTTGTGGAGTGGCTTATCTCCGGGCGTCCATCGCTGACCATACTTACTAACAAGCATCTGCCATGGGGTTTGGTGACAAAACCACCACCAGCGTGTGAGTTTGTTCCTCCTGCATTCAACGTGGTCCATTTGCACAGAAGTACGGTACCAATGTAAGTTGTAATTTATGGGAACGGCCATAGGTTGTCGATGTTGTCGGTGTTGTCAGTGTTGTCGGTGTTGTCGGTGTTGTCAGTGTTGTCGGTGTTGTCAGTATTGTCAGTGTTGTCGGTGTTGTCGGAGTTATCGGGATTGTCGGGGTCAGAGACAGTTTAGAGAGCGCGCGAAACGTGGAGGCTATCATGAGGTCCTACAACGACCGGCAGCCTCGGCAACCCCGACAACCCCGACAACACCGACAACATCGACAACACCGACAACCCCGACAACACCGACAACACCGACAACATCGACAACACCGACAACACCGACAACACCGACAACACCGACAACATCGACAACACCGACAACATCGACAACACCGACAACCTATGGCCGTTCCCTATCTGAGCTTTTCTCCTTTATTTTATTCTTCTTTTTTTTCTGTAGAAATGAGGTGCTACCTGGAAGTGTTCTGTCTGACGAAGATTCGTCGCAACTTCCGCATGGTCTACTGCTCCCTCGACTTCGTCGTGGCAATCGTTATCGTCTCTTGTACTCTCTAAGAATTGCGTCACAGGATGGAGGAGATTCTGATGATCAAGTAATTTTTCTACTTTCTGGACTCTCAGTTTTTGCTTAAAAAAACTGAGCTCGCTATATCTAGAAAGAGAACTCATTCTCGCCAACACATCAGCAACCACAGCGTTGCAAAGGCAAGTCCCCTAGAACACCACCAAATATACCGCAGATGTGCACCACGCCTCCTCTTCCAATGTTCGGAGTGCAGCAGCCGAATTCTCACAGGTAGTGGCAGATTTGTTTAAGACAATATCCTAATTGTAATTTAGCCCTCATGCTTTGACTGCCAGTCCGCTGTCGAATTGTGTGCCAGAATTATCCAACTGTTTCAATGCATGCAGTCCGCTACAAGCTCAGCAAATGATCCTTCAAGATTTGTAAGCTGCTCTGCAGGTTATTCTAAAATTGCGGATCTCAAAGCATATTCCAGACATTCCACAGCGTTTTCCACTCCCGAGTTGGCCCAGATCATTCCACCAGATATTTGTAAGTTTTTTCTTTTGCAGTTTATTGCGTTCCTCGTTTGTCAGCAGTATACGTTACAGCACTAGAATCTTGGATGACGTGGTTGGCAGCAAACCCATCTTATGTTTCATCGAATATCCCACTCACTGATCCCTTATCTATACTAACGGCCGGCAGTGCTGGAGCTCCTAGACCACCGGTTGAGATACCCCAGCAGCCGCGTTTTCATTATACTCGTGGTCCTCGCAACAAACGTCGTTCCAACCCACAGAAGCAACCGTCGCCTCGCGCAGCAGCACCGCCTTTGTCTTTCAGCCCAACTGACTTTCCGCCACTGCAGTAGGTTGCATATCTGAAGAACGAACAGAGTTTCTTTCAAATGGCTGCTCTTCAGTAGCATTATTCCACATCTTTAATGTCTGAGCAGAGATGTTTAGACTTGTGTCCTTGTGCTAAATGTTTTATATCCGCTTTCATTAGTACAACAGTTTGATACTAAACTTACGGTAATATTGACATTTTTTTGATCTCTCTCTCCGCTACTATGAGCCATTGATATACTAGATGCACACAATCTAACACCTAAACATTGTGATTTACATTGTCGGTCGCTTTTTCATCGTTCGTGAATACGTACTATAGCCTTTCAGAGCTGGTGGTTCGCCATCGCCTTCGAAGTTTATTACGTTGTTTCCATGTGCTCAATATGTTTTGTATGTGCTGCTTTGTGAAGGAAAATAAATTTAAGTAACCTTGTTCAGTGACAGAGTGATGCAATTATTGGAATGTATACTCAGCAATGTTTTTCAGCACAAAAATATGGGCATCAACTTCAAACCTTGAGTTTTTTTTTCGTATTGCTGCATGTTACATGGAACGATCGCTAGTGGTTCTGAGCCTGCACTTTGGTGCAATTATCGGAGGTGATTGAACCAATCACTCCTTCGAGATTTGAGGTTCCGACAGAAGTAATCATTTGCTTCTCAGATCAGTGGAATTCTCCAATTTTTATATTGAGACACATGTTAAAAGTGATAACTCGTCAGTACAATCCGACCTTTATTTCCTTCTTCTTATACATTATGTCGTATCCAACATAAAGTTCCATATTTATTTGACAGTGATGAGGCTCTAAAAAATTTATGAAACTTGCAAAACACATCCAAAAGTCAAATTTTACAAACATATTTACGACTTAATACTTGTGCTTGTGTTTGTGCTTCTTCCTTTTGCGAGCTTCTGCTGCGTAACCGCCTTCTTCTCCGGCGCTCGCTTCGGTTGCAACGATGTTGCCTTCAGTGGTAGATTCCTCCGGTCCTAACGTCGTCGTGAGAAGCTCTTCTCCACCTACACCAGCTTCTCCTCCTGCAGAAATAGCAGCACCTCCGTTAGCTTTTGCTTCCACACTCACATTTGCTCCTACACTAACGCCCGCTTCTTCAGCAGCACCTGCCCCAATCTCAGTGACACCGGCTTCCTCTTCAGCCGCACCAGTTGCGGTGGCAACTGCTTCTGTGGCACCGGTTTCGCCTTCGGCACCAGCTGCTTCTGTGACACCTGGTTCTGTTACAGGGGCTTCACTCATACCTAATTCGCCTTCGGCAGCAGCTTCTGTGGCACCAGCTTCTGTGACACCTGCTTCTGTTACTGGGGCTTCACTCGTACCTAATTCGCCTTCGGCACCAACTTCACCACCTCCTGCCGGAACTTCCCCTGTCACATTGGTAGCACCAACTTCGGTCGTAGCTGTAATAGTCGCAGTTCCTCGTGCTCCTTCAGCAGCACCTTCGGCAGAAGGTGCTGTTACATTTTCCGCTACGACAGCCTCTCCCGTTGCAGCAGGGGCTGGCGTCTCAACACCACCTGCGGCAACCGCTGTCGGAGCTTGCTCTTTGAGTTCGCCTAACCTCGTAAACATTGGACGAGGCGGGCAAGGGCAGTACTGAGCATCACCACCGGGTCTTCCGGGAGGACCTGCGACGCCAGGTATTCCGTCAATACCTGCAGGTCCAGGTTTTCCTGGTGGTCCTGGAGGTCCGGGTGGGCCAGGAATTGGTGGTCCAACTGCTTCGCTATCCGGACCTGGCGGTCCAGGCGGTCCCACCGGTCCTTCCGGTCCTGGAGGACCTGGCACTCCGACAGTTTTTTCTCCTGATATACCCGGTTCTCCTGGCGGTCCTTCTGGTCCCGGTTCGCCAGGCGGTCCAGGATCTCCCGGCGGACCAGGAGGTCCTGGTGGTCCTTCACCGCCCTCACCTATCGTAGGTCCTGGTGGTCCATCTGGTCCAGGCGGTCCTGGCGGTCCATCTGGACCTGGAGGTCCTTCCGGCCCAGGCGGACATTTGATGCAACCAACGGTTTCGTTTCCAGCACCCACCGAAATGCCGTCGTGACCTGGCTTTCCCGGTATGCCATCCGGCCCCGGTTCTCCATCTGGCCCTGGTTCTCCTGGAGGCCCTGGTGGCCCTTGAGGACACGCAGTCGGGAAGGCTGCGCAGGCACAGTGTGGTGGGTATTGAAAATCTGGTGCTTGCCGGCGACTACGGAAGACAGCCGCTCGCTTGTCTCCCTGCGGCCGCATTTCGTACCAAGCGACATTTGCCAGATCCTAGAGAAATACAAAGTCAAATTTCTTTTGGGAAAAAGTAGTTAGGTTACCTTGATGTTCAAGAGGTCATCAATCGCGTTGTTATAGTAAATACTGACATCATTGAAGAGGTAGAATATACCGATCACACAAACAGCTGTCGTCACGGCGGTTGCGCCGGCAATGGCAGATGCTATTTTTGTTGCAGAACTCATTCTAAAAATTTGATTTCTTGATTCACTGGGACTTGTTTACAGCTTAAGCATGAAAATTCGATTTTTGAGGATTTTGGGATTTAGTCATTTTTGGTTGTGTTCGCTTTCAACAACATTTAGAATCGAATTTACGCAAAACCCAATGTTCTGTCAACGTAAAATCTTGATTTCTGTACCTGAGAAGACTTTTGTAAAAAATGCACAAGAAAGTATGGGATAAACTCGATCTTAAATCAAAATTCAACCAAAGATCTCCGGACTGCGTTGATGGGAAAGTTGCCATCTATGGAAGACGACAAATGACGCTTTGATTGGTTTAAGAATTTCTTACGTAATATTGTATGTTGATTCTGAATGAACTTACCCATGTATCTGCGATGACCGGATCAGAAACACAGGGCATACTAAAGCTTCTGCCTTTTATAGAAACTTCGTAGTAGTCAAACCACAAAAACGCCACTCTAAATGGTAATTTGCTCGTCCACTACCGGCAAACTATCTTTTTCAACAATCAATTTAATATGATCACATTTTACTCGTTTCTCCGAAGGAGTCACCAGTGTCCCGATACATTTCTTTAGCTGACTTTTGCCTAATGTGACATTGTCATCGAGACCAGCGATGTCTACAACTGCCTGCAATTTTTGGAGTCTCTGATGCGCGCTTCGACAAAAGTGGAGTGCAATAAAGCCATTTTGTTAATGCATCTGTACTACACGTACACAAGATACTTTTTTCCTTTTGCGCAGCCGCATTACCATTTTTTCTCACAAACTCTACCAGTAATTTTACGATTGAGATGATGGCTTCCATTGCCTTTTATTGACATCGTTCCATGACGGTGTATCCTGCATTCTCTGGAACTCTCTATTACAAAATAAGAGGTATTTCTTTCCAATGGAAAGTTTTGAGAAAACCAGGATTCAAATGTCATATTGTCTTACCACAATACTGCCCTTTAATCATCTCTGTAGACTATGCCTTGGGCTGAACTATAGCAATCGTATATAGGTCGTTCGCAAAATAATTTCGCATTTTTTGACTGAGCGCCATAGCGATCAGAATAGAGACTTATAGAAAACTTTGGCCAAATTCGATGCAGCTTTGCTCACTCTTTCTCTACTTTGTATTCAGAAGTCTCTTAATCTCCGAACAGAAAACTGACATATGCTAAACTTAACAAAAGAATTTTTTTACAAACTTTCACCGATTAAGTAACCCGCATAGAGCAAACCTACAGAATATTGGCTTTTTCTAGATTTTCTAGCCAAAAATCATTGGTTTTTCAGCACAAGTTTATCTATAAATGCGTATGAAACATCAGAAACAACGTTTCCGTTAACAATATGCATACCTAACTAGAGTTTAGCGCCTCAAAACCAGAGAGTTTGAGGGCTGGAGTGCAGTCACTTACGACTCATTCACTACATATGTCTGTAATTAAAAAAAAAAAGATTTTGCCATCGTTCAAATCTGAAGAAAAAAATCCTGCAAGATTCCGGTCCTTTCGGTGTTGCCCCATTTCACTAATTTTGCGTGGAAGCCGGTCTAAAAAGTAGGAAAATGGACGTTGGCAAAAACATGGGTCGCAAACTTTGATGACTAATTGGAGCTCGCTTGTTGCTTTACAATGGAAACGTAACCATTTTCACAAAGACAAATACCTAGGATGCTATCGGAGTAAAAACATTTTTTGTGAGGGATGCGGTCTTCGTTGGAAGAAAGCTATCTCGGAACGACCTGAGAAAACTCTTCAGTGCAAGATTCGGGAGGAATGAAAGTTTTAAACATATTAATCGATTGAGTGCGAAAAATTATTTTTTTCTGTAGTTTCTGTAGTTAGTTTGGATTACTCGATCATTCAACCTTCGTGATTTCGTCCAACTAACGAAGTGTTGTGATGTTCTCTTAAATTTTTTGAATCAAAGTAAAAATATTCAATTATTCACATGAAATGTCTGAATGTAGGTTGTTTAAGATATATTTATCGAGAAGCCCTTAATTCTCGCTGACCGCCCGACAATTACATTTATAATCGCTTCGCTTATTCGACTTTTCGCTTTTAAGCTCATTTGTTTTACTAATCTCCTCTTTTGATTAAGAATATTGATTACGTCGATCTCGAAAATTGCGAGTATTAGTATATTATGGGTCAGCCGACTCTTTTTTTTTTGATTTTGGGAAAGTAAGAATTTTGTTCTCAAAATGGTGAGGCTTTTGACCATAGCCAAGTGAAACCGAGCCAATTTTTCGAAAGAACAAGCAAACATCAGCAACAGGTACAATAGTTGTTTTTATTCAGCTGGAACTTGACAAATGTCCTCATTATGGTGCTCTCCTTCGAGTCATCTGAATTAAGCATACGTGCATTAGTGACACAAGTTTTTTTCGGAGGAGGGGGGGGGGGGATCAATTCTTTTTGATTGAAGTTGCGTAGCCTTAGCCACGCGCTGCGAAGAATTTTTTGGGATGCTTCCCAGAATTTTTGGGAACAGAAGATAGATCGAGAATTTGCTAAAGTACTGCTTCTAATCTCGAACAGGAAACTGACATTTAGGCTTAGGCAAACACTTGGATACTTTCCAAATTAGTTTGAGCAGCAAGCAACATTAGGTCAAATGGGAAAGTAAAGAATCTGTCATCACTATCAAAGGAAAGAGAATTTCAAAGTCTTTCATTACGTTTCACACAGAATCTATTTATTTCAGGACGCCTTGCTTATACCCGGATGACTGACCGAGTGTATTGCCGAAAATTAGAATCGGGTCTTATAGAGGGTGTCCCAAAAAATGTATCGAACGTTTGACCTTCAACTTCCCTATATGGAAAGCTTTCGCGGATCTTTGAGTGTCATACGGTTGAGCTTGGTTCAACTTAGAATTTACAGTATAGAGCGAATCACCAATCTCTCTTAGCTACTGTAGGATTACGGTAGGAATTTTCGACTAATTTCAAGCTCCTGACAGACGAGAACTGCTTTTAAAAATTTCCATAAAAACGAAAGACATTAAACTGAAGTTTTCGGGGATGCTGAATCTAATTACAAAGCTTTCCGCTACCATACTCCTCATCTTCCTATAATAGGCGCACTGTAACGCAAATTTTCGGCTTTTTCCAAAATTTACTAAATCAACGTTGCAGTGACAAACACGTTGTCAAAAGCCGAAAATTTAGGGTAACAGGCACCTGCCATAGGAAGATGAGGAGTACGGTAGCGGAAAACTTTGTAATTAGATTCAACATCCCCGAAAACTTCAGTTTGACGTCCTTCGGTTTTTTTTGGAATTTTTTTAGAAGCAGTTCTCGTCTGTCAGGAGCTTAGAATTAATCGAACATTTCTACCGTAATTCTACAGTAACTAAGAAATATTGGTGATTCGCTCTATACTGTAATCTAAGTTGAATCTAGCACTACGGTATGACACTCAATGATCCGCGAAAGCTTTTCATATAAAGAAGTTAATAAAGATCAAACGTTCGATACATTATTTTGGGACACCTGTAGATACGTGGCTGATTGGCTTACCCGGCTCCGCCCGGGCTTGGAAACACTGTGATAAAATCTCATCCCTATCTCTCAATCTTTCCCTGTATATTCCCGTTTTGTTTTGTGATCGGCAAGCCCACTTACCCCACGTACCTACTTCCAGTCCCTTAGCTCGAACTTTGCAAAAAAGGTATTGATACAAGTAATAGACAATTCTAAAGGCTGTTACTGTATTGCAAGTCCTTCATCTTGACCTGGGCTTGTTGTAGACAACTTCAGTGAAATTATACCATGACAAACCTGTGCGGCAAAGAAAGAATACTGAAGCAATTATTGTATTCGTAATCAGCATACTCACTTACCCCCCCCCCCTCCCCCATCCCCCTATGCCATTTCTCGGCAGTATAGCTCGAACTTTGCAAGAAATCGATAAAATCGATAGAAGCAATCTATAAATCCAAAAACTAACACTGTATTCGTAATCACCATGCTCTCTTATCCCCTTTTGCCAACCCCCAGCACCGTAGCTGAAACTTCGCAAAAATCGTAAAATCGATACCGATCAATAACGTAGCTATGACACGCTCCCCCCCCCCCCCCGAAGTGTGTGCGAAGTTTGGTCCAAATCGGATCAGAAATAAAATTTTCTATCCCGCATATACGTACGTACACATACATACGGAAAAACGGACATTCAGTTTTGTATTTAAGATTTATTTATATAGATAAGTATGGCAGTATTTGAATCTATTTCGTTGCGTGTGCCATTAACGGGCGGCGTGAAAAATATAAGGCCATCAATAAAATGCAGAAGATCACTGTTATCAGGAAGTTCTGCAATTGCACACGAACCCAAGTCACGGCAACGACCTTGTGCGTAGCACGCATACTTTTTGGGTGTTCGTGATATTCTGTTTACTTTAACCACAAGGTAACACATGTACAATCAATTTTGTGTACATCTACGGTAAACTTATGTTGCAGACTTGTTGGTTCGGTTGGAGAAAATTTCCGAAAAGCCGATGGATTTACCAACATCGTCAACTTCGAGGTCTACAAACTTTGTGAGTTTTTTCTTTGACACATCTGAATTAGATATATACTTATATATAAATGTTCTCATTAGTCAACCATAGCTCGTCGACTTCTCTTGGAACGTCAACATCGCGAAAGTTCGGGAAGGGTGAGCATAAAGCAATTTGCAGCTATTTTGAACGATATTTCGGAAGCATCCCTGTATAGCACTGGATTTTTGATTGATTCAGAGCTTGCCTTCACATTTATCAAGTGCCAGGACTGGAAACAGAGCGGATGAGGTAAGGAAACATATTTGATAAAGCATTTAACACTCAATCTTCCAGACAAGGCGCTTATTTTATATTCCAGGCTGCCATACATGCTCTTGATATACTGAGTGGCAACACATCGTCTGCGAATTCTGAAAAGGCCAGGAAAGAACTACTGGAAGAGGTCAGCTAAGAATATCATCTATTATGAATCTGAATTGTAAAGTGTTTTTGTAGTCCTTGCTTTTCCTGTCGCAGACTACTTCTGATAAGAAGGAATCCCTTGACGAAATACCGCAGGCTACTTCTGAGGAAAAGGAAACTCTTGACGAGATGGATGTGGGTCTCTCTATTCAGATATTCTTTTCATGCTCTCCAAATGACTGTTTAATGCTTCTTTCTCGCACAGAAGCTCGTAGATGACATTTGTCGAAACGTTAATCACTTCCATTTTCTTCCGATTGTGTATGCACAGTTATAGGCGGCTGACTTGCTAAGTGACGACGGATCTCTTGAGTCTCTTGATTCCCTTCCTGAAGGAGTAAGTGTTTGATTGTATACGGATTGTGTGACACCAGCAGCCTCATGCAGTGTACCACAAAATAAAGCATGAGCCCGCTACTGTTTAGCTTGTGAGGGCTTTATGCAGCACAAGATCGCGGTCCTTGTTCTTGTTCTTATTTTTTCTCCACTTTTGTTTCCATATGTCCCAAATCCTTCTGAACGAATTGGAATTGGAATGTTAAAGTATGCACTGACTGGTGATTCGCACCTTAACAGATAGCATAAATCTCTGACAACACGGACTAGCTGTAGGGTGGAGGACTATATGTCGCCGAATTTGAAAGAATCCCGCGCGGATTCCCTGCAGGAACGCATGTCCGCGCATGTACAAGGACGCGTATTTGTCGCAAATGACCGCGAGGGCCGCCTTTTTTCGGCGACATATAGTCCTCTACCCCTAGCTGTAGGTTGCGGAACAGCGCCGCGTGGCCAGATGCTTGTACTATTTCGAATCGCCATGGCGCTATAACGATATTTCAGCCGCGTCGCGCATGCTCCGCAATCTGCGGCCAGTCCATGCAATCGAAGCTCACTTATCACTCATACTGATGAGACAACCGAAACTCTATCACGGAGCAGATAAAAAGCATACCGATAGCCTAGAATGCCTGTATTATAAATAGTATGTAGAAATATTAATTTTTATTCCGTTAAGAAAAAAAGGAAAAATGAAATTATACTGATAGAAACGAGGAAGGCGATTGTGGGCGGCAGAGGTCGAACAATACCAGTAACGGTAGAGAGAAGAAGACACTTGTGCGTAGTTTTGAGATCGCAGTGAGCAGGGTGTTACCATTACCGAGCTTGTAGTTCATATCTTGCACAAGCTTATCTTCAGCATTGTTTTACTTTTTATACTTTCAATTTAGTCCTCGGTATCTCCTCCGGCGTCTCCTTCGGAACCTGGAATAGTGAAGGTATGCTTTGCGAAGTTTTATGGTAGACTTTATATCCAACAATGGTCTTTGCAGACGGAAAAAACTTCGCCGCATTCATCATCATCTCGTGAAATGGACAACTCTGTCGTGGTGAGTAAATATTCTTTGGTTGGGTTTCAAAATGATATATCCCCTTTGCAGAGAAAGCGATTGATCGCGGGACGGCGAGGCGATCCCGTGAGTGTAAACCTTTACTCTTTTATGAATCAGGCAATCGCTTTTTCCTACTTCAGAAACGCTTGGGAGAACGCTTACAAGCGCTCAGGCCAGAGGACTTGAGAGCGCCACTCGAAGGATCATACGATGCTGTCAAGTCCAAGAGAGCGGGTGCTGTTGGGCGGCCCTCGGTAGGAAGGAGCGGCAAAGTCATTCTAGAAGAGTGCGACAATTTTTCGAGGAGCTCAAAAGACTTCTTGGAAGTTCTTGTGATGGAACAGTTTTTGCGGCTGCTATGCAGTTGACTTCATTAGCCTGTGGAGTCTCTACCAACACTGTCAGAAGGCTCGGAGTGAAAAACAAATTCGTGCATGAACTTCTTCCACGGAGGGAGAAAGATCCAGTAGAACATGAAGAGGCTATGGAAGAGGCAACATTGCGAAAATATGGAGTGGAGTGGGGTCCCATCGTGAAGTGGTTTATTCGAGAAAAGCTGAAGAAGGACCGCATGACCGTCCCTGCTTTACACAAAGAATTATGTGACACCTATGCAGATTTTCCCATGTCAGAAAGCACTTTGAGGAGATTTGTGAAGGCTATTGGTGTCACTTTTGGCAGAGATAGAGGTTTAGCGTACATGCTTGTGTAAACCTTTATAATTTTGAAATATATATGTGGTGCATATGTGGATTTTTTTGAAACTTTGTCTTGAAGCTTTAGTATATTCTGCTAGTTTCCATCACCATACAGCTTAGACTATGTCAGATTTTTTGTGTTATAAATTCTTGGAGATTAACCTTTATCACAACATACAATTTTGCTACATTGTACATGTCTGTCGGACATACAGTTAGTCAAAATTTGGATCAGGCTGAAGCGTTGGCGTAAATTAGCAAGCTTATTCAGAGCCTTTTTTTATTAACGAATTGAGCATGGGCCATGTGACATTTAGAGTTGGCTTAAATTAGCAAGCTTATGTCTCAGAGCCTTTTTTGATTAACGAATTAAGCATCGCCATGTGATTAGACACCATCTAGTATCATAGCAACATCTCGGCCAGCTACTTCAGGCGATACAATCATAAATACTGTCTGGGGGTTGCATACAGACAAGCTACTCACGCCTCAGAATTTCTTTCGAAAAGTGGGGACGGCAGAATTTCGTTGTGTGGACGGAAATCAGCCAACCTTCCGAGTTTTTTGAGCTTCTCAGGCCCCCATGCCCTTTGCAAAATTTCACCGAATTGTTTCTAAATATCAAACCTTTGAAAAAAACCATCCTGAAATGAGAACGTTGTGCCCATTGATTGCCCTACTTTGCCTACGAGTACAAAAACAGAAAATATAAAAAGCTTCAAATACGCGCTTTCACTGGTATAAAAGTGAATGAAAAACGAGCTATTCACGCCAATAATTCCACAGTAAAGGATGCAAACGGGAAGCCTTCAGACTTTGAAAGAGAGGGAAAGCAGTAATTAGCAGATGGAAGGGAGCGGAGTGGGAGGGGACACTCACTCGGTTTGAAAAAGTTGTGCAGACGCGCGTCTTCGCCTTTTTTTAAAGAAAGATTCGAAATTCAAAATAAAATTTGCCTCAAAAATCTTTATTTCGGTTTTCTAGAGTTATAGTTTGGATTTTTGTATCCAATTTCAGACAGATCTTGAATTAGAGACCACTAAAAACATGACTAGATGGCTGAAATGTCTCACCTGTTCGGCCTCACCGGTCTTCTCCTCAAAATATTTTGTCCTCTCCGTGCCTTTGCCTTCCATAAGATCGAAAAGATGAAAGCTTTTGTATGCACTAATGATCTGATCTGTCTGGTCCAGTTTGATCCAGCAAATGCACAAAGCCCAATTCTCACGTTTGATTGAGTTGTAATTCCTTCATTCATCAAAATTGCTTCGAAACCCACATAGTAAGTCTCCAGATGCGAACATTTGTACAGAGCATAAGTAACTTTATACACAACATATGAGTTAAATATTACAACATGATAATTATTCTTCACTTTCAGAAACATTGTCATGTTCCTCACTCTCAGAAGCAATATCATGTTCTTCATTCTCGGAAACAATATTCTGTTCCTCACTCTCAGAAACAATACTGCGTTCGCTAGACAGTTTACGTTTCCTAGATAGTCTCCTAGATTCTGTCCTTGACAATGATTTATCAGTATCAGGAACAATATTAGTTTTCCCTCGATTGCTAACCAATTTATAACCCAAAGCTCTAATGAAACGATGCAATGTTGATCTAGATATTTGAAAATCAACATAGGCACGTTTCAGCTCAGCATAAAGAACGTTTAAGGTCATGCCGTCTTTTGGCAATTTGTTCTCAATCAAGTCCCTAACGATGTCTCCCCATCTGCCACCATATTTTATCAGAGTATTCTGCATCCTTTGTTCTTTTGTAAAAGCCGGTTTCGGATCCGCACGTGGCAGCAGTTCATACACAAATTCGTCTCGCGAGCCAACTTTTGTCACTACGTCTGGACTAACGCCGCAAGCCCAAGCCGTCAGCTCCACGGTTTGAGTGAGAATCGTCCCCTCACAAGCGTTGCCGAGAATCTTCTTGAGCTCCTCGAAGAACAGCCGCACTCGTCTGATCATAATTCTGGATCTTTTTCCTAGGACTGGACGACATGATTCGTCCGAATTTACTTCTGCTAGCTTTTCGACTGCGATATCTTTGATGAGAGCGCACAGCCACTGAAATCAAGTGCTCAGAAAACATCTTTACCAAGGTTAAATGTTACTTACTGGGTCATATCCTGATGATGACTTTGCATTTGAGGAACCGTTCTATAAAAAAAAACAATATCAAAATCTTGTTCATTAGATAAATCTCAGTAATTCAGGGTGACCGACATTCACCTGCATCAAAATGCCGTCTTCCTTTTTGATAACATTTGAGCCAAAGTCCTGCAATGTATTAGTAATCTCTAAAACGAGTTTAGAGTGCGTAAATTGAGAAACGTACCGCATTAACTGGTGGCTTCACATCTTCAACTTCCACAAGTCTTATATCATTATTCTGAAGAATGCATTATAGTCAAATTATATTTCGTGTAATCTACTGAGCTCACCTGTCCAGCAGAGCTGGTGCCAGTCACGAACTTCGGATTGAAAATCGCGTTCTGTAATACAAATAATTAACATCTATAGAAAGACCTCCATAGCTGATAAAATGCGCTGTGATGGGTAAAACCAGCAACAACATGGTGACAAATGCCCCATCAATCACTCAATCAAAATTTGACTGGGATGCAGGGAGCACAGAAACCGCGACAAGCACGGGTCGCGTGCGATTGCATGCGCTGTGTTCAATTCGCCTGCGACCACATTCTGCATGTCGCTCCCATTTGCGCTGCTATGCTGTCGGTTCAACTAGGGGCCGTCCGCGTTCTGCGCGGAATGCAACGATGTTGCGTCCGTTGCGAAAATTCGTGATGATTGGAAGAAGGAGCAGAGAAGAAGAGAGGCGAAAGCGCTAGAGAAGAAAGAAATCCGCGAGAAGGTGTATGTTCTTAGGCGATATGTCACCACTGCGAAATGACCTAGGCCGCGCGACAGCATTCGGATTTTTTAGTTGACTCGTTCATAACAATTCAAATTCAATTTGAACAAACAATAGTAAGCGCCAAAATAGGTAAGAAGAATTTACAAGCTATCTCAATTGCAGTGTCGGCTGCACTAGCTGCTCGGGTCCCGCGCTGCCGCCTCTCCTGTTCCCGCGCCGCTTTCGCGAACGTGTCCTTTGGTCTTCCCCATGGCTGAGCATGGGAAAGGGCTCATCGAGGCTTGGGAAACCGGTCAAAAACACATTTGCAGATGCGGTGCAAGCGTTAGCGAGGCAGACGCGAAACGCCCGAACCATTGGCGCATCTGACACTGTAACTGAGATAGCCTGTAAGAGATTTGCTGGAATATGATTTTAGAATATGATGCAAAAAGGTTTTGCTCGCATCATTCGACTCGGTGTAATGTATAGATTAGAGTTCAGACTTTTCAATGAAATCCAGCTATTACTTTTCCAAAAAAAAAAACGTACCAACCTCTTCATTTGATGTTTTCTTGTCTCCTGCAAGCGCTGCTATGATCGCAGTATGCTGAAAAAGAAAGGATCTGAATAATTCAAATGAAAAGATCCTTTTAACAACAGGGAAAGACAACAAGTCTGGGATGGACGCCTGATTAGTCTGTCAAGATTGTGAAATAGAGTGTTCTGAAGGCTGCGGAAGACTTGAGCCGCGGGGGCCGGAGACACTAGCAGTGGAACAAAGACTACAAGAAAAATATACGCCAGCGGCGAACCGAGCTAATTGTGGGCCAGTGGCGTACAATATTTTTTAAAATTTTTTAAAAATTCATTTCAGCCTTATAAAAAATTTTTTTTCGGCGGCGTGGTTATGAGCCCGCATAAATTTTAGAAAGCCTATCAAAAAAAAAATTTCGGAGTGCGTGGCTGACGCCACGCACCTTCATTGAAAAATTTTTTTTGTTGCCCCCCCCCCGAGCCGAAATCCTGGGCACGCCACTGTTGTGGGTGTATGTCAAGAGGCGCGATTTTTATTGTCAGAACGCAAAATAGCCTTATTAAAGGCGGTGGATCGGCAGAATTAATCTTGTGGCAAAACAAGGTCACAGGGTAGGAGCCCCCATAATGGAACCTATCGGCCAAAGTCCGATTTTTCTCTGCCCTTCTAACCCCCGAAATCTGAACGCAAAGCAGTGCTCATCTCCTCTCCTCTCCGATCCCGTCCACCCGATGGAAGAGTGACTTCCACGGTCATAGCGCGCAAGCCAAGGCTGCGTTCATACTGATCCGGAATTCCAGGAACAGCTCCAGCTTAGCGCTTAAAATGAGCGTTGTGCAAACTGTTCCCGAACCTCGGGATCAGTATGAACGCAGCCCAAAGCTACAAGCTTAAGGGTCCCGCAACGACTCTGCGTCTGCGCCATGGCGGGCTTCGCGTTCACTCGTCCGTGGGGTGGGCGGGGTCGGAGAGAAGAGGAGATGAGCGCTGCTTTCGCTTAAAATTTCGGGGTTTAGAAGTGGCAGAGGAAGATCGAACTTTGGCCCATAGTTTCCATTATGGGGGCTCCTACCCTGCGACCGTTTTGCCACGGGTCTCATTCTGCCGATCCACTCCCTTTAAGTGTTTTATAATAATGATCTTGGATTCAAATTTTTGAAGGAGATATATTGGATAGTTCCATGAAATGGATCCTGGGATTGGTGAAATTGAAATAATTTTCTAAACTCTCAAAATCGACATTTAACCATGCAAACATAAAACGATTGCACATATGGGTGTCTAAGGTGGACAAGACATTTATGAAAATTCCTTGGAGATCTACTTCTTATTGTTAGGTATAAAACCAAGATTAGGTCATTATCAAGATTTTGCTTTCAAAGTTCACGTGGATTGAACTTTTGGAATTGTTATGTGATGTTGAATCTCCATCTTGTAGATTGCTTTCTGTCGAACTATGTATATTACATAGTTCGACAGAAAGCATTACATTATTTCCTCTTGTCGCGCAGCATAAGTGACGTGCATCATTTTCTCGTGCCACGCCCTTTCCAGAATTTCGAGGTTATAGGGGCGCTAAACAATTAGAAAACATCCCAGAAGATTTTTCATAGGGCATGGCTAACTCTACGCTTGTTCGCTCGAAAGATTTCTTGTCGCACTCGCATCCCTCCCTGCCCCTATTTCCTAGAATTCAATTGCCACTGGTATAGTCATACACAGATCCTGTCATGATACGCTATGAAACCCGTATACTGGACCGCCTTTGAGCGGATGATCGCTTCAGCTTCAACCTACTTTTGTTGAATTGAGAACGTGCAGTCTGTTTCAACCGACTGGGTGTGTAGACCAGTGATGCCGAATGGATGGAAGGGGAAGGGCGAGGTGAGGGGCGCTGTGTGCTGGCACAAAATCGAGCCTGTTATGCGCCTACAGTCCCAATCAGAATCAGGCCGAGACATTGGCGTATTGCACGCTCGCAGCGCAAGGAGCTTGCGCTGCATATGTGTACCGTCGGAGAAAGTGAAGAGGTTAAAAGAGAACGCATAGGTAGTAGATGTGATACAACACCGAGGCAACGCATATGCCATCAATCAGACCTTCCAGATTGGGACAAACTGTAGGGACTATGTGCAAATTTCGTCGTCACATATCTACTGCCCAAACCATTGAAATGGCGATAATCAAGAGAATTGAAATTGCGTGGATTATGTCTGACGTCCAGCGCAAATAGGTGAGGAAAAGCGCCGATGTCAGAAAGACAAGTAAAACCTATTTCCTTGTCCACGTATAGTTTTCAGTTGTAGGGTCCGTGAAGTCAATAAATGAAGGAAAAATTGCGGACAAAGTACCTGTTGTTGTTGTTGTTCTACCTTTGGCTCGTATCCAGCGGATGGTATGAAGTGGATATGCTGCAAAAAGCATGTTTGGAAATTGGGGAAGAATGACATTAGGGGGAGGGGGGGGGGGGGGGGCAGGCGTTATGGAGCAAAGCTAGGCCACATTTCTCTGCGATATATCCTGAGGGTCATTTGCGTTGCGTCACCTTTAATTGCAGCGACAGGAGTAGTGCTGTTCCTGCCAGCGGATTGAGCCATTCCCTATTACTACGACCTGACATTTTCAAACTGTATAAATGCAATAAAAAAAGAACTGCAATTTAGAAAATTTTAAAAAATAGACGAATTCTAGGGATGAATCAAAGGCTGAATATGGGATGATTCATTGCTGGTGAGTTGAAAGTGTTCAAAAGGTGGAACACGAGAATTAGTAGAGAAAAGCGATAAAAATTTTCAGTCAATGACTTCCCAAAAGAACTTACAGTCGAATCATCTCATATGATCACGTGTGCACCAGCACACGCCGCCCATCTTTGGCGTCTTCATCCTGGAATCGCAATGGCAGAAACGCAAGAAACCGACCGACTGCTACCGCTTGCATCATTGAGGTGAATAGCACTCAAAAAGAGAAAACCTTGAAAATACATCACAAACACTTACCAAAGGTTCCCTTCTCCAAGAATCCAGGATGGGGACGCCTTAAGGTGAACAGTGTGTGCAATGACATTCATGTTCATATGAAACGATCCGACTGTAACTTCCTCATCTTTCACTTTCTCTTGGCTTGCTTTGCAGACACTGCTTCCTCATATTCTGTATTTGATACACCTTTGATATACGTTTATCATTCACATTATGGTCTCTAGAGGATGAGAAAAATGGCTCAATCTTCTCGGTAGCGCTAGCTCCTCGGCGACTGCAATCAGGAGCGACGCAACGCAAAGGACCCTCAGGATATACCACAGGCAAATGCGGCATAACTTTGCTCCGTAACGCGACGCTGCCATGCAATTATGCCTTGGCTCCCTTTAAGCTCACTTTTCACTCTTTGACTGACAAACTCACCGGAGGCGGATCCTCACGAGGCAGTGGTCGCTTCAGAAGAAGACGACGCGCAATCGCTGACTAAAAACAACCGAGCGAAATGAAGTGTTTCTTGTTGAAACAGTAGGACTCACAAAATTATTGGATGGAAGGGCTGCATGGTAATCCATGGGAAAAGCAATTACGAGCCGCTTACACGGACTTAGTTCTGCAAAGAGGAAATTTTATGGAAACGAGAACGTTCCCAACATGAGATAGAGAATGGCGCTCAAGGACTGACAATTGAATTGGCCGCACGCAACAAGGATGCGGCGCGTACTGGAAGTCGCACTCGCAGTGACACCATCGATTGCTTAAAAAGAGGCCATTTTAGCAGCAAACGGATGTTTCTTCGCATAATCCTTCAGAGCAGATGAGTGGCCCTTTCATAATTGGAGAATATACGCCCTCAAGCATCTGAACATCTCGAAAATCTCTCGTCGATTGTCAACTGTGCTCGATAAAATAGAGACGTCAGATTTGATGTTTGCCGCAGCTGCAGACTATGTTCGCACTGCCGAACTTTTCACGCTTTATTCAAAATGACAACAATATCCGAAAAGGTGTTGAAAGTTTGTGGCAAATGGGAGGCAATTTTTGGTTCGACTTCATTCGTACGTTTTTTATATGGTACTTGTCGAAAAGTAGCTTTGTTCAATAGTCGCGTTTTTTGCAATTTCTCGGCTCAAGTAGCTGCATTGTGGTCTTAGCATAATATTTACCATAAAAGCAATTCCCTTCAACAGATGATGAAATGTGTCTCATTGGTTCATGAAGTTACGTGGCGAGTGTTTTCCATGGTTGTCATTTGATGCTCGTAATTTTCACTTGCAGATAGATGAAAAATACATGAAAGACTACACAACTAAAGAGTAGGATTGATTCGGGCGTCATCGCTCCTCTCCTCAGAGAGTTTGGCCGTCTTCCCCCCCCCCCCCCCCCAACCCCCGCTCATTCAGTCTTTCTCAAACTAAAAAGGCGACAAAGCCTTCCTGACATTTTCGGAAGCAGCTGCAGGCACAGTTTTGGATCAGTACACGCAGTTTTCAAAAGAGAAGAAAATCAAATTTGACATTTTGTCGAACCATGCATACTGATATTTCATGCATACTTTGCACAGCAAACAAGCCGTAATTCACTATTAGATCAAAAGTAATTGAACCACGATTTCTTACTAAAAGTCGTAGTTCAATCACTTTTGATCATTCCTAATTCTCATATTTTGTAAACCATCTTCTAATTTTATTCAATAAGAAATTGCTGCGAAGGCAGTAAAGTAAACTCTTGCTAGAGGTAGCGAAGTATTACTAAACATTTCTTCAGATGCGAACATTCGTAATGAGCATAATCAACTTTATACATATGAAATACAATATATAATAGTCATTCTTCACTTTCAGAAACGCTATCGTGTTCCTCACTCTCAGAAGCAACATTATTTTCCATAGCTTTTTGCTTAGCTAGTCTCCTAGCTTCCCCCACTGACAGTGCTTTATCGCTTTCGGGAACGATGTTATGTCTCCCTCGATCGCTTATCATTTTGTAACCTAGGGCTCTAATGAAATAATATAATGTTGTCCTGGATATTCTAAAATCGACATATGCACGAGTCAGCTCAGCATGAAGAACATTTGCGGTCATCCCGTCTTTTGGCAACTTGTTCTCGATAAAATGCTTAACAATTTCTCCCCATCTTGCACCATACTTTATCAATACTTTCTGCTGCGTTTCTTCTTTTGAGCACTTCATTTTCGGGTCTGCACGGGGTAGCAGTTCATACACAAATTCGTGTCTCGCGACCCGACGTTCGTCACTGTCTCTGGAGTAACACCGCAAGCCCAGGCTGTCAGCTGCACCGTTTGATTGAAGATCGTCCCCTCACACGAATCGCCAAGAATCTTCTTGATCTCTTCGAAGAACAGCCGCACACGTCTAATCATAATTCTGGACCTCTTTCCTAATGCTGGACGGCATGATTCATCCGAATTTATCGCTGCCAACTTTTCCACCGGAATCTGTCGGATAATATTGCAGAAACGCTGGAACGATAAGTTCAGAGACCAACTTTGCACAGCTAAGGGTCAATATTACCTACCTGATCAGACTCTGGTTTTCCACTTGAGGAACCGTTCTATAAAAGGAAATGTCAGTAAAATCAAATCTGCGTTGTATGAAAAAAAAGTTAGAACTTAAGTAGTATTTATCGGCACTCACCGGCATCAGAATATCGTCTTCATATTTAAAACCATTTGCGCTGAAGTCCTGGCAATAAATCGTATCTACTAATGTGAGTACACAGTGAACGACTTGGATGCATTAACAACGTACCCCATCAACTGGCGGTTTTATATCTTCACCCTCCACAAGTCTTATACCGTTACTCTAAAAAACGTATGATATTTATTATACGTCTGAAAATATCGAGCTCACCTGTCCAGCAGTATTACTGCCAGTCACGAATCTCGGATTGAAAACAGCGTACTGTAATGAAAAAAAAAATAATGGACATCATATGGAAAAGAACCATCGGCTCATCCATAAAATGCAATATGATGGAGAGAACAAGTATCGTGGGTAACGTTACACAGTATTCGGATCTATGGGCACCCAAAAAAAAGCACCAACCTCTTCACCCAATGTTTTCTTGTCTCCCGCAACCGTTGCAATAATCGAAGTAGGCTGAAAAACTAAATTTAACAGATTCAAATGGTTCAACTCAGATAGCACTTTCAACCTTAAAATGAAAACACGCCGTTTATGAGCAGTACAGGACCCCGAAGTCTATCAAGAGTTTGGAATGGGTAAACTCTTCTGTTCTTAGAAGGTGGTAAAACGTCTGTTCTAGTTGCAAGTCACCATCCGCGTTCATATCACCAACTATGAAATAGAGTCGTAGTCCACCAACGCGGAAGTCGAAGTAGTGATCAAATTCTGAAGTAGTCCCTGAAGTTTTGCAGGTCCCAGCCACGCCCCCAAAAAATTTTTTACACGGCTAATTCGAATCTTTGGAAAGCTTGAAATTTCTTAATCATTTACAAGTATAGACGAGTCACTTGCTAATTCACGTGACTTCCAAAAATCCTGTCCCACTTCTCCCCTCCCTCCCTGTCCGCCTCCAGACTCGAGGCCGAGATCCCAGTCCGCGTACGCTTCCTTGTTTGGAGGCAGCTGCCTTCTTTCAGGAATAGTCTGTATTCTTTGATTCAACTGGCTTGGCGGCCGGAAGGCGAGGCATCATGACCTAGTTAAAGCTAGGGAATGATCAGAGAGCACGCGCAGAGGGACGTGTACTGCGTCGCGGGCCGCCTCAATTAAGTTACAAAGCCCGCCTTCCAGCCGCCAATCCAGTTGAATCAAAGGTTACATAAGTTCGCTCTAGTGCAAGTTCGTGCCCGAAGGTCCGGAAAAGAAAGCTTGTTCAAAATTCAATCTTGTTCGCGTATGTTATTTCAGTGAGAGAACAAGAGACTGCGTAAAATATATTACCTGTTCCACCTTCGGTTCGTAACCTGAGGATGGTTTGAAGAGGATATGCTGCAAACAAATATCCACCTTTACACTTTGCTTCAACTCTTTGACTGATCAACTTACCGGAGGTGGATCTTCACGAGGTAGTTGTCGCTTTAGAAGAAGACGACGCGCAATTGCTGACTAAAAATCTAGTACAAATTACAGCTTCTGAGAAGTACTATCAAGACTCACGAAATTATTAGATGGAAGGGCTGCATGGTGATCCATGCCAAATCCAAGTGCAGACGCTTATCCGGATCAATAAAGGATCTGCAGAAAGAAAATTTTTCCTAAGCAAGAACGTTTTACACCAGAGACGGGAAAATGAGCGCAAGGACTGAGAACTGAAGTGGCCGCACGCAACTGGCCGCGGCGCGTACTACACAACCCGCATCGGCGCAGTGACAGCATCGATCGCTCACATAAAAGTAGCGATACTGGCAGCTATAACAGGATGGTTTGCTGATCTTTCGCTCAGATGAGTATGTCTTTATAACCTGTAGCGAGGTTGAAACTCCAAGTATCTGAGCATTGTGAATTTTATGAATTTTGCGGATGTTTGGCTTCGACGTTCGTCAAATTATGCTAGCCAATTTAGATATCGTGCATCCCCAAAATTGTTTCCATATGAACCATCAACGCGTTGCCTGTCGATCGTTTTAATTCAACTACAGCAAATTTAAGGCGCTTATTCCAAGTTGACATGTAAAAATAATCGAAAGGAATTGAATGAATGTTGAATGATGATTGAATGATGCAAACTTTTTAGAACACTTTTGAAAAACAGCAACGTCTAAAGGCCTTGAGTATGATGTAGACGAATGTTATCAGATTTCCTTTCGCGATGACACGCATTGTTATCTGTAAATCTGCCACTTCCATAGGCAGATAATTTGAAGCTGTTCAGCCCTCAGTGTTTTGGTTTTCCATGGCGCAGTTCACGATCTTTTCGTTGTTGATAAGTATTCTCTGCTGTAGGTTTGATTGCACAGAAAAATGAATCTAATAAATTTGATAACACTTGGAAATTGTCCGACATTAATCTTTATAGCACCGTCAAGAGTATAATGGCCTGCAGAAATATTGTATTAATTTTTTATGCTCAATTTACCACATAATAAATCCCCGCGAAAGCAATTTCCTTCAACAGTTGATGTTTCATCGGTAACGTACACAGAAAGTAAATCCAGTTATCACAGTCGTAAAAAAGGAAATGTTGATACAAAGTGACATGGTTGTTCCATAAAAATCCAGAAATCATGCAGCTGTTTCTCGAAAACACAATCCGACACAAGTTTCCTTTGACAACAGCAGCGCAATAAGACTTTGACTAGTACTGCCACAATGAAGAGATCTCTGGTTTCTGAACGATTAAAAATTCCTTTTTACAAGTTTTTCAAGTCTTTTCATGCTCGTAGTCTCAGCCAATCCATCAGCTGCCATCGATACGACTGCGTTCAATGCCTGAGTTGCTGATAGTGAGTTTCCGACCGCAGCAGAAACTGCTGGTACTGCATCGGCAGCTGCTCCGAATTTTTGCCTGTAAAAAAACATCTAACAATAAGATATGCATATTATTGTCATCAAAGCTCACCTATAAGCTTGAAGTATAGCTGTTTGCTCCACTTTTTTCACTCCTCGCATATCCAAAACCTGTAGAAAAAAATGTAATCAAATTTTTACAAGGAATTGGTGTGTTTTAGATCACCTTTTGCAGTTCTGAAGTATTCGATTCCGGCAGCAGGGTGGAATAATGTTCGATAAAATCTTCCGGTGTTTCCATATTTGACATAACGACCTGAAAGATGAGAGCAGTAGTTGAAAACGTATTTTCTACCAAAAATTATTTCTAAAAAAACCTTGAGTATCATTTCAGCTTTGTTAAGCACTGCACTGACACCATTTATATATGCGGTAGGTGGCTTAGCAGCTATGGCACTGTCTATGGATGGCATTTGGAGTAAGAATGACTTCAAGGAGTGCGTATCAAGCAGCAATTGTTCAGCACCTAAAGTTCGAAACTGCGCCAAAAATCGACAATTATTAATTGAAGCCACTCACCATGTGTGCTCATCGGTTTACACCTAAACAAGGCCCCAACGAATTTGTGTGAAAGCTGTGTGGCTAGTTTCAAGCACAAGTGCGCGAAATATTTTCTTCTGTCAGACAGCAAGTCTCGTAATCGTGGCACAGCGCCTCTAAGATGAGACCTTATAGCACCAACGAATGGTGATTCGTCTCCTACACCATCCACAGCTGACCATCTATAATTAGCTGATAAAATTAAGTGTGATCAAATTCAAAAAGAAGCACATACGTCACTTTAGCGATGGCTTGCAACGCTGCATCACATGCTCCCTCCAAATCTTGCACAAGAACCGCTAATGCTTGATTCGTTATCCCGTAAAATGTTTCCATTTCTTGGCTGAGATCAACCCCCTTTAATAAATAATATAGTAGTGAAACATATTCATATCGCCCCAGATGTAAAGAAAATTACCGGTAGACGTTGAGCCAGCTTCTCTTGCAGCTGTAGCGTCGTTTCGGCGCACCAATCAGCCGTAGCAAGTATGCAGCAGGTTAAAAATTGTTGATCAGGGGTCAACCTAGAAGCACTGGTTGATTGGTGTAATTTATAAACAATATAAAGAACGCTACGTTTGAAATTCCGTGGAATATGAATATTGCATCTCACTTCAAAAGGTCGAGAAACACCGGATAAGGTTAATTGTAAATTTACCTTACTACGGTAGTGTCTTCTCTGATAAGGTTGAACAAATTCGCCGTGCTTGTGTTACTTTGTTGCCCGTGTGCTGTCGGTAGGAATGCCGTAAGACAGCCGTGAGCATAATTACGAAGACATACGCGTACAACTCCTACCACATCTCTAGAATTTCAAAAAAGTAACCTGACACATCAGAAGGTGTAAAAATGATCGCTCACTTGAGTAGAGCATCTGGTTCACTGCTCAGTTTGCTGCACTCTGTTATTACTTTTTTTAGCAGTAGAAACATATCAGCTGATGAAGAGAAGGGGACAGCATGGGTAGAACATTCACGTGAAGGCACTTCACTAGTGTCACCGGATCTGAAAAAGCATGAGCTTTCATATGAAACGAAGTGACAACGACTACCTTATCTTATTAGCACATCCTTCCAAGAACTCATTCAGTGTCTTCTCCTGGGCGGTTATGAAGACATTCAAAAACGAATCAAAGACGCTCCATATTGCCTAAAAACATTCACCTACCAAGTTGCACAACGACTGAGGGTAACGAGCCTTATCAAAGTTAAAGTCGCCCTTAGGTGGAAATCGTTTTGTAAGTAACGCCTCAAACATTCTGGTATGCTGAATGGCATGACCAAGTAATCGGAAATCCAAATCTGGCCGCCGCCTACTCATCATACGATACAAGACGTCTCTGAAAACTCATGATAAAATTAAAAATCATTGAAAAAAGGACAACAGAGGTTACTGGTTGGGCAACTAACTTGGTGATACTGCAGAACTCCCTCGTCATCAGTCGACCCATATCCCAATCGGGCGGAAATATTTTGGAAAGCCCAGTTCTCTCAAAGTCTGTGAGCTTTCGCACGTACCATTTATACCTCAAAATTATTCCTCATTCGTGAAAATGGCGATGGTATGGATAGAAAGGTAAAGCGAGCGGACTGAGTAAAGCAGTGAAGCTGGGGAAACCGCACCTTTCCTCTATTTTGTCCAACCATGCACCTTCTTCATTTTCCGCGTAAAGTACAGCATATTCGGCCAACTGCTGATCAATGAACCACTTGCAGAAATTCGCTTTTACTGACCCCTCCAGTGCAGCTGCTACACGACACATATCCGTAACTCTTTCGCTCAGTTGGCCAGCCTGATTCAAAGATCTATATTATGAAAGGGAACCATTATAGAAGTGAATAAACCTGAAAGACGGCTTTCATATCGCCAGCTAGCTGGACGGTAAGTGACTGCTTCAGCCTAGTCAAACGATTAGTTATCTTCGCCATCTGCTCAACTTCTTGGAAGTCATCGAACAACTGCAGCACGTTCAATATGGCTGGTAACTGACGAGCTATAGATGCGTAGTCTCGCTGCTCAACCCAAAGCGCTAGAATATGCAATGCTGGTCAGGAGATTCGAAGACATAAAAGCATACCCTACCTAAAGAATCAACACCAGTCAACAAGATATGCAAATGATGCAAAGTTGTGATCGATGACGTCAGATTTCGCTTGGCAATATCGAGCTGCTTGATGTCCCTCGTCATTTCTCTAACGATCTGAACTCAACTATTACGGCTGAATTTGAGACCACACAAACCGCAAATAGAGTTGAACACTAAAAACGTATAAGCAGATAGAAATAAGGAGATAAAAAGCCACGAATGAAAAAAAAATGGCAAGATAGCCATGGTCAAATGAATGCCTACTTCATCAGACGATCTCGTTTTTCCGCGAATGCTGTCGATACGCCTTTCCAGCTCAGTCATTGCTTTCTGGGCCTCAAATACTACTATTAAAAATCAGAAATTTATTTACATGATTAAGTTGCAAGATGAGCGAAAACAATTGACCAACGCAAACAACAAATAGTTTTATTGCAACAACGTGGTCTCAAGCGATTGGAGGAAGTTGAAAAAGCGACTAAAATGACAGCTGGGACACCGTCGCGTACGTGCATTGCCTGCGCTGCTGAATCGACTGTAGAGCCGTACCTCTTGCAGAGCCGCTTCTCCTTGAGCTCCCACTTCATCATGTGACTCTACGAGTGAAGCCAATTCTACATCCAAGTCATGAATTTCGGCTTCGACTGCGGCTGAATCAAAGCAAAAATAAATTCAACGAAAATAAACAACTCAAAATGGTTTATCTTACCTATAACCGTATCTAATTGAGCTAAAGACTGCTCCGTAGGGAAGAGCTCATTGATTTGAGCGGTCAACTCCTGGTCTGGACGACAGAACTCGGTGTGACACATCTCTGGAATCTCTTCTCTGAATAAAAAGACAAGCAAATAGCGTAAAGAAATTTGGCACCTTTGATGGCAGCTTCCGTAGCATCGCCAAGTTTAAGTTCCTCCTCCTCTTCATGATCACTGATTTCTAATGGTACCGTGCTATTATTTGCTACTGACTCCGTCATGACATAGCAGTTCTAAAAACATGTGGATATAAGTCCTCCAAAAACCGAGAACTTACACGGAAATATGCAGATTTGGTGCAAACGGACTTCTAGATAAGGTTCCATTGCATTCCATATGATTCGACAAACTGAAGACACTGCTACGAGCCTAACAATCTACTAGCACACCATTTACGCGACTGACGTAAGCCACACTTTTGCACAAAAATGGAAGCTGCCAATAATAATCAAATGAAATGCTCTGATGTGATTTTTTTGCTCCAGTCACGCCGCCGCAACGCAGCCGCAGGAATATTTAGCCGCGCATTCTTCACTGAAAGGTGAAAAGTTTTTCGCAATTCTTCCCCTTTTACGGCTGTTTCCTTGTTTTCAACTTGAAATTTTATCTAATGGGAAAGCATGAACGTGGTACGCCTAAGGATATTGCGAACCGCATCAAATCCAAAGGATTGCAGAAGTTACGTTGGTGAGAGATTTGAAGTTGTATTTTTCTACATTTTCTGCAATGTTTGCCTTTTTTGATTGTTTTCGTTTTCTTATCTCGTTTAATGTCAAGTTTGGCAAGAATTTTCTGTTTTTTTTTGTCAAGTACATTTTCTATTGAACTTTTCTCAAAAGCTTCAAACAGACGAAAGGCCAATCTTGAGTTTGCAAAGTGCCTAATTTTCATGTGCTGCTTTAAGGTACTGCCAAATGTGTCAGAAACAATGCCGAGATCAGAACGGTTTCAAATGCCATCTAACTTCTGAATCGCATCAACGTCAACTGCTCCTTGTTGCTGAGAATACCAACTCTTTCCTCAGACAGTTCAGCAAAGAATTTGAAGCGAATTTTATGCAAGTAAGACTTTTGCTATGAATTTCGCGATGACTACACAATTTTTGTCTTAATAGATACTGCGCACTTGTCATGGAACCAAACGAATACGAGCTAATGAGGTGTATCAAGAATATATTAAAGACAAGGGACTATTTATTCGGTTTTCTTTTTCTTTTACATCCTTTGAAAAGGTGAAGTTCAGGGTCATGTTCACATGAATGCCACCGTATGGCATACGCTCACTGGCTTTGTTCTATATCTAGGGAGCAGTGGCAAGTGCAAAGTCGATAAGAATGAGAAAGGTATGTCGATCGGTCCACATTGCAGAAATCTTTTACACCTCGTATATATAGCTTTTAAAGCGCGACTAGCACTTTTATTTTTGTCTTTTTTTTCACAATTTTATTGACCTTATGCGAATGCATTGTTATATGTAGGTTGGTATATCCAGTATATCGATCAAGAGGAAGTCATTCGCAAGGAACAGGAAGCGAAGCGAGCAAAAGCTGAGAAAGATGACGAGGAACGACAACAAGAAATGATCCAAAATCAAGTTCGCAGGTTGATCTCCCTTGATTTCTCGTGCGAATTTTACTCAGCATCGTTTTAGGGCTCTGGAACTGCATGGTGACGCTCCAGAACCGCAAGCTACTGAGTTGATTCGTACGGATGAAAACGAGAAAATCACCTTGAACCTCAATGTGGATAAAAAGCCAACGGCAGAGGTTTGTTAGCATGTCTTTTGCACTCTACTCTTGGCCTTTTTTTTGAAAATCTTTCGTAGATATATATTCGTTTATTTTTTGTCTTAGAATACCCTCGTTCTCATCAGGTACGATTTGCTTCTCCTTCAGTATATCTGCTCATGGACTTTTTGTTTGATGGACGTACCTAAATGTTGCGATAATTGTCCCGTTATTATCTCAGGATTTGAAACGCCCAGTTCTCGTTCCTGGAGTTTCGGTATTTGACCAAGTGAAAACGAAGAAAGAAGAGCCTCAAAGTGACGAAGAACGACCGGATTCGAGTCACAGCGACAGAAGCAGAGAGCGAGATACGGATAGGCACCGCAAGCGTGGCCACGACGAAAGTGAGCGCCACAGAGAGACGAAGAAAGAAAGAAGAAGCCGTAGTCGGAGCAGAGACAGGCATAGGGATAGTGACAGTGAGTCAGACTATTATCCAGTAGACCAAATCTGTATTTTAAAATTGTAGGACGAGATAGTGCTAGACCATCTACTTCTAAGAAGGATGAAAAGCCAAAGAAATCTGCTTTGGACGAAATACGAGAGGAACAGGAGAGATTCAAGGAGAGGAAAAATAGAAAGGATTACTGGATTTGTGAAGGGATAGTCGTCAAAGTAAGGTTTTTTCTTTCATCTCTTGATCCTCTTGGACTGACCACATTTTTTAGATCATCACCAAAAAATTAGGAGATAAATATTATAAAGCCAAAGGCGTTGTGAAATCGTTGATCGATGAATATACGGCCACTGTGAAGCTGGATGATGGTGAGTGATTAGTATCTTGGTAATTTGCGTTATTATAACAGTCTTTGTTTTTCCCCTTCAGTATTCGTGACTTGTGTTCAGATAGTCTACGCATTATTTCTTTCCTACTTTAGCGTTTTGGAGCAGTTGTTTCTTAGGCACGTTGGTGAAACTGGATCAAGCTCATGTTGAAACGGTCATCCCTAACGTAGGACGCGAGATGAAAATTGTTAATGGCGCTTATAGAGGATGTAACGCTGTAAGTGGCTCCTATCATCTTCCAATCCTAAATATTTTACTTACTGTCAGCTTTTCTATTGATTTGTGTCCGATCGGTGCATAAAAGTTTCTTTAGAAGTTGGAAAGCTTGGATCAAGACAATTTCTGTTTGAACTTACGCATTTCGGACGGTCCCATGCATGGACGGAGTGTGCGAGTCCCATACGAAGATGCAAGCAAATTAGCGTAGAGGTTATGTGTAGAATCCAGTCTTGGTGTATAAAAAGATATGTTTATCTTGTCGTGTTTTTCTTTCCAATTTTGTGGTTGATCATGGTGTATAAAAGAATTTATTCTGTCTTCTGTGTTTTCTTTATAATTATGCGGTTGAATTCTCGATGTATCTGCCACTTTTTACCAATATTCTTGTCTACAGTGGTCATTTTTCTTGCGCTTCTAACTCTCTTCAACCATTTCTAGGTTATATCATGTCTCTAGACGGCGAAGTCATCAGAGGCAGTCTCAAATTGAAGAAAGGCGATATCTTCAAGAAGAAAAAGAAGAAGGTCGATCCAAAAATGATTGATTTAACTATCAAGAAGGACGACAAAACAAATACAGCAGGCAAGACGAAGGCGGAGATTGCATTTGAAAAACGACGAGAGCAGAATATAGTATGCTAAATTTTCTATAATGTTTTAGTTTAATTATCCTTACCTTTTTTAGTTCGAACGAATGCAGAAGAAAGCCGCCGTAAGTCATCGTGAACGAGTGGAAGAATTCAATAAGCAAATGAGCGAGTTGACTGAGTTCAACGACATCCCCAAGGTTTCGTGGACGAAGTAGACAAAGCTCTTTTTTTTGTTCTTTGGATTCTGCTAATGATTGCATGTGTATATTTGTCCTTTCGTGTGAAAATTTTGTATTCCTTGCATACAATGTACAGCATGATTATTTTTGGTGTCGAAAGCAATGAAGAAGTTTGGTTGGAAATGTTGTAAGGAACGCTGTTAGTGAGATCATTGCAGGATCTTTGCATTCTTTTCAGATAATGCGCTTCGCATTACTGCATGCAGACACCTCTCTCAATTTCTGATTTATATTTTTGAAGAGTGAGTTTGTTATGTTGACTTCTAGCAGAATCTTTTGGAAGTATAATACATGGGCTATGTAGATCTCAGGGGCTATGTAGATCTTATCTCAAAGCTATCGCACGTTAGAACTACAAGCTCGATATCTTAGCTAGTCAAGCCTATATAGGTTACATAAAGACAAGGCCTCAAGGTCACGAAGACCATACTCGCGCCGCAGCTTTGAATCCCATAGTGTAGTTATTGATGTAAATTCTAGCAATGGGAGCGGAGTATGCTTGAGTATTTTTTGAAAGGAAGTAAAGTTAGGGTTTTTGCAGCATCGTCGTGTAAAAAATTCGCAGGAGATAGATCTAATTGTAAGCAAGGACTGATGGCTGTTAGATGACGCAGTGGATAGAGAATTTCGAATACTGCGTTGAACCACAGACTCACTAAATTAGTACTAAGTTTCCCTTGTGAGGAGAAATCAGTACGAAACTTGACAAACATGTTTTTACACGCCGAGGAATTATTAGGTTGATGCACCACTCTTGCACCAAAATCAAAAAAAAATCGTTTTGAAAATGCTTGAACAAACTGTTAATTCACGCAATGTGCTCTTTGTTATGTATATAGAAAGTAATATTTCTTAACACAATTTAGAAAATCTATTAATTTGTGAAACAAAAACAATGAGTTGATTTTGTTCAATTGAAATTCATAGTCTACAGACATCCAATCATAACCACTTCTCTTAGTCAAAAAGAGTAGGTCATAAAATCAGAAACAAAAATCAATTCAACTTTCAGTAGATGTTCCAGCAAATTTAGCGACCAAAAATCGAAAAATCACTTTTTGGGTATTTCCCTTGATCAGCTTATATCGTTGCCAAAATACTACCAAAGAATTTTCATTCAAGCTCACAGAAAGCGCAAAATTTTCTCTCTTCAATTTGTGTCAAATCACGAGATTTCATTAGAGCTGAGAAACTAAACAGGATTTCAAATATTTTGTTATAAGAATTACGCATCAGTTCATGAATGGAGATTTTCTTTTTTGAAGATTCTAAAGCATAAACGAACACTTTATTCACTTCGGGTACTATATGCAATGCTAGGGTGTTGCAAAAAGTATTTTAGATCTAGAAACATAACTTTTGGTAACGTCTAAGCTTGATCAATAAATAGGTCGTGAGACTCATGTGAGCAAACAGACAGCTGTCATCGTTAACCTTCAGATCCTTGCATTTTAAGCTTTTATTCAAGGGTCGTCTCATATTTCACTACACGAGTCTAGTAATTCTATTGCTCTCCAGCACGAATCGCTCGCAAAAGTTCCATGAACGAGAAGTAAATGCCAGAGATGCACACCGAGCATCCCAATCCAATAATAAACTGGTCGAATCGACGATCACGATCCACCATTTTGTCGCCTTTGATGTGTAGATGAAATAAAGCTGGCCAGATAAAGGAAAGCATGGTGCCTGAAAAATTTCATCAATATATCTTTAAGTTGTTTTTGCAAAATAATGATCGTTCGATCTAAAAATTGTTATGACTTAAGGGTCCATTGTTAATTAAAGTAGACATACGCTTAGGTGGTAAAAAGATCATTAAAATCAATAATTTGCTCGCGGAGCTTTCTCACCCCCCCCCCCCTCCCCTTTTTCCTCTTTAACCCCTTATTTAACCCTTGGCTGTTGGTAACTTGATAGCCAATATCTCATCTCTCACTGCTTAAAATTTGCCTGAAAGTTTTATCCAAATAATCTCCGCATTTCATTCCAGTTGACTTCAATTTACCTGTGATATTGCCGATCAATCCCATCAGCTCGATAAGGTACGGTACTGAGAGTGCTATAAATAGTGTAAATAGTAGTAGAAGTATCCTTAAAAACAATGCCCATTCTCGCAGTGACCCATCGGGACTGTAGCAGCTGGAAAGGTGAAATCAAATACTGGTATGAAAATTGCGAAAATAATATATTCATACCCTGTAAATGCTGTGGTTTTGGTTCCTCTGAAGAGATTATCCTTCAGCAGTTGGACAGCTGCGTAGAAAGGAAGAGGGTAAGAGAGAAGAGCTTTGATGACGAGAACTAAGTTCACTACCACTTTAAAACCTTGATTTGGTAAGGAGTTGGAGATTTCTGGCTGAAATGGCGGCATAATAAGAAACGTAACACACTGGGTGAAGTGTTTTCCATACTTGTGTAAGTTCTCCAAAAGTGAGGAATCCACAGAGCCCAAATATTGCTTTGAATAAAGCAGCTGCTATATGAGACCATTTTAGCATCCATTTGAACTCCTTCGGCTCCTAAATCGGGCTGCGGGTCCAAAACTTGTCTTTTTTAGTTTTCACTGAAAAAATCTACCTTCATGTTCCCTTCTAGGCTTGGTAAGAAAATATGGGATGTGTAACCGAACACTACAACCCCGATCATCGTTGGAAGGGTGTATATATCCAAGCCGAAAGGAACCGATGAGAATGACCAGGAGCGTATCTATGAAATGAACAGGTATTGAAGAGACAGTCATTCTATTTGTTTACCTTAGAAACACAGTAAATCATCATTATAGCATTTACTGCCAAATGAGAGATGGCATTTGCAAACGAAAGTTGAGAAACCATGACAAGGGAATCGAGAAAAGCACAAGCAAGCAGAACCGCTGAGACAATCATCATCCAGGCGGGTTTGTCTAAAAATAGATTGTTTGCTAGTTTTTATTGATTTATTTCTCCTCACCTATGCTGGGGAAACAACTTTGTAACAGATCAGCAGCAAGTACTAAATAAATAATGCATGTAGAGAGTAGTTCAGTGAGTTGTGCCGTCAGAACCCATTTTCCAAAACCGGGACGATAAAATTCAGCGACCTAAAACAACCGACAATCTGCTCAAAAATTCTCGAAAAAGGTTACATCTCAAAGTTTGAGCATTTACCTCTCTATAGCTGAATCGGACTTTCTTATCTTTTTCATACAAACATTCGATGAGTAGAACTCCTGTCCAGTAGCAGATGTAAGCCACGCCCATCATTGCACCGACCGAACACCAACCACCGACCTAAAGCTTACCCTGTAAGTGCTGTTTGAACGAGTCTTTCGTTTACCATACCTTAACTGCAATGGGTAACCCAACGATAAACATGCCCTGTATGGCATTGGTTACATTCCAAGCAGCTTGTAGGGCAGTTATGGGCTCTCGGCTAGCATGTGGATCTTCTTCAACTACTTCATCAACTTCAGGTGGAGGGCTAGATTCACCCTCGGGACCTTCTTCAACAGTTCCTAAAAATTGAGGAAGTATTATGCTGTTTGATATTTTTTAGACCTCAGCTAGCCCTCTTGATCGGATTTTCAAGTCTACCAAAAGTTTTGATTAATTATAGTCCATTGCAGGATTAAGGCGTTGCCCAAATAAGAGAAGCGCGCGAGTGCGACGCGCATGCGGATATCAATACTGCAATTGTGCGCGCTCTTGATACTTCAAATCGCATCGCGTCTTTTACATTGCATAACACCTCACGATAATGATATTTTGACCACTTTCTTGTGAATTTTTTTAGACGAAACTCTCTTGACCGTAACCCTACCGTAATTCGGCTGTCGCTGTATTGTTCTCCTGCTCGCTTCATAGGACTCCTCTTCCGGCGGATCCTGATTCCAATAATCCATAGAAGCAGTGAAAACATGCTTATTGCTCCAGTCTTGCAGCGTTTGAAGTCGCTGCTGCGCCATTGACTACCGTAATCTTGGAAAGAGCACAGACCTGAAAGAGTGCGCAGAGAAGCAGAGAACATGTGAAATTCGTTTGTGTTATGAGTTCGAGGCGTGCAAATGTGCAGATTGCATGGCCATTTATGGACGTAGTTAGGTCATTTTTTTTTCTATGGAAATGTTGTCATCACGAATGTATCTGTTGAAGACGTCCAAGGATATTTATATTGGGAAAATGTTTAATAATAAAAATTTTCCATGCAATCTTCTCCGAGTCTTTTCGACTTCAGTTGAACCAATCTAAGCTCTTCTTAAGAATATAATTCATTGCCTATTGCTGGAATTGTAATGAAATATTGTGCTCATCTTTTGGAGCACTGCAAGCTCGTTGCTAGGATTAGAAGTTTTAAAATTTGTTCTTCCGCTGGAACTTCAGGTAGAGAAAATCAGAACAGAGAAGATCATGAGACAGAAACAGTAAGCGAAGCTGAAAGCATCAATATATCTGGTTATTATGGGTATAATATGAGCGTAAAAATTGTAATTTTTTGTGCCACTCGTACTTTTAAGAATTGTCACATTGATTTCGAAGTAATATGCCACACAAGATATTTATTTGATCAATTTTTTATGTTAATTTGTTTCACTGCATTAGATGGGTTATTTTTTCGTCAGACCATTTTAGTCAAAGAAAAGGAATCCAAGATTACCTAATGTGTGATATATCACTGTTACAAGGTATGTGATAATTGTCTTCTTTAAGAATTATGAATTTTCTCAAAGAATATTTGAATAGCCGTGCACTTTCGACTTTTGTAGTAAGATGCTTTCCATAATAACTGCAGCTGTGCTTTGATATAATCTTAGTCTCATGAAAAATCTGCCAGTAGTTTGGATTTTAGAAATTTATGTGGTTTTCACAAAATTGTCAGGAGTTTTGAAGTCGAAAACAAAAACCTGTAAAATAAAGACTGCAACTATCAGTATGTCGGAAAGAAATTGTAAAGGGCTTTGGACAATATGGGAGCTATTATGTCAAAGTATTCACAGTGTGATCTCAGTATCATGCGTTTTTGTTCAAAAAACTATTCTTTATGATGGTGAAGAAATACAGGGTGTCCCAAAAAATGTTTCGAACGTTTGATCGTTAATATCTCTTTTCCCAAGAAGTCTTTTGCCTTGCTTCAGGTACCGTTTTGTAGAGCTGGCTTCAACTTAGATTTCCATTATAGAACGAATCACCCATCTCTCTTCATTACTGTAGGGTTACGGTAGAAACTTCAAAGAGGGTTTTGAACCATGAAAGGCCATATTTTGCCTCAGAAAGGAAACAAAACAGCCTGGAAACTTTTACACCAGGCTAATTAGAATTGTTGATTATAACTGTAAAGTTCCCAACTTATTATGATGCTTCATTGAAGAGTTATGCCAGGTGAGAGGTAGCGGCCTTTTTTTTCAATGTTCCTAAAAAGTGCGATTACACCGTTTAGAAAGCTTCGTAATCTTGTGAATAGTTGAGTATTGAACTCAGCGTCTATAAAAACCCTATTACACAAGTTTTCACAATTTTTTGGAAAATTTTGAAACGGCAGCTTTTTCCACATTGACACCATATTTTTCAAGTTTCTACCGTAACCCTACAGTAATGAAGAGAGATGGGTGATTCGTTCTATAATGGAAATCTAAGTTGAAGCCAGCTCTACAAAACGGTACCTGAAGCAAGGCAAAAGACTTCTTGGGAAGAGAGATATTAACGATCAAACGTTCGAAACATTTTTTGGAACACCCTGTACTTCAGTATTTTTGACCATTTCTGTGAGATTACCTATATGTCTTACTGTAAAACTGAAGAACTTTTCGGAAGCATACTAAAAACATGCTAAAAGATTCTTTCATCCCTCGTTTTATGGACTACATTATTTGAGGTTGGAAATCCAAAGTTTTCAATAATTGGTCGTACATGGTATTCTAGCTCTCTAGAACTGTGGAAACAGGAAGTATATTAGACACTTTCGTGAAAACCTATTATTTCATGCATTCATCCTGTGAGCTGGGCCCTGATCTTTGTTGATTCGTACAGATTTTTTTGCAGATTCTTGCGAGTATGAAAATGTTGATAGCACGAAGAATGAGTGACAAGTATTGCTGTTCATTAAGTATTTTTTTATCGGCACATCTCAAGTTTACTGAAAGAGAGTAATAATTTAACGGGATGAGGAAAGCTGAGCATACAAATTGATAGAAGCAGTGGAGATTCTGCAAATGGGAAGAACTCTTTCGATAAGTAAGCCTTGAGGCTGTGTGATGTGGGGCGCATACATACAGCTGGGGGCGGCTCCTCGGCTCTCGAAAAGGATTAAAATGAGTCTTTCGAGGGCCTCGTCCGAACGAGGATTACCACCGAAACAAAGCGCTTCGCATGATTATCGAACATAGAGCTTTGAAGAGTGTCGCATGGCCACGTAGCAATGTTTTTCAAGTATTTTCTGAGGGAAAAAAATTACGAAAAAATGACGTTTTACCCTGTTGTTTGCCATGTCTGTTTAGCTCGTGTCCTTCGACTTCTTGCAGACAACAAACCTCCAAACATTTATTCCTACAAGAAGCTAAACACGACGAACTGTCACTGATCATAAGGTGACAGTGCCATTGATGCATTTGTGTGTTCAACAGAAAAGAAAAACACAAAAACTCTTATAATGCGGCCTCGCGTCTCTCTTGATCTTCTTCAAGTTTTTCGATGATCTGGAAGTTAGATCTTTTTATTATAATAATGTGAAACTGTACTTGAAATACCTTTTCGGCGCATTCAGGAATTTTAGTGCCCGGTCCAAAAATCAGATGCACACCAATTTTGTAGAGATCATCGAAATCTTGTTCGGGTATCACCCCTCCTACTACCAACAGAATGTCCCTAAATGTTGATTTTTTCACCCAAAAAGTGATATTTTTGAAATGCGACTCACTCTCTCTTCAGTTTCACCAGTTCTTGAATAAGTTGTGGAACAAGGGTCCGATGACCACCAGCTAGAGAGCTGACTCCAATCACATGAACATCTGCATCGACGGCTGCTCGAGCAGCTTCACTAGGGGTTTGGAAGAGGGGTCCAACATCCACATCAAACCCTGAGTCGGTCTTAATTTTCAAGGGAAAATATGCGCAAAATTTTAGAGCCTTTCTCAGTTTTACTTTTATAAATCTTTCCTGAGTTTTTCTTCAGTTTAGCTGAAAATATATTCATTCTAAAGAAAAACTGAAATTTTATCCAAAAACCAAATATGGACTGATGGAGGGAGATTCAAGAATTTCTAGCATTTTTTCTTCAAAGAAATTTTTTGTCCCATACCAAAGTCCGCGAATGCAGACGCAATAACTTTTGCTCCACGATCGTGCCCATCCTGGCCCATTTTTGTGACCATTATACGGGGTTGACGACCTTCCTTTTCGGCGAATTTTTTGATTCGTTCATTCAGCTGCAAAGGCTTTGGTTGATTCTGAGAATGAAATAATGAAATTTGGACCAAAATTAGCCATGTGCATACCTCAGCTATCTTGTCACTGTTTCCGTATGAGGACTTATATGCACCAGTCAATAATTTGTGGTGAGCAACATAGCTATAATTCATTTATTTTGCTACTGAATAGGTCTCATAAGTCCCCGAGTTGCCCCGTTTCAGCATTCTTTCAGCGCCGTGCCGAAATCGACGTGCCGCACATGTATTGATTGATTGTCCCAACCGGCACGGCGTTGGAACAGCGCTGTCACGAGCAACCTACACGTAGCCTCATAGCACTAACCGGGTGAAGACCTTCTCCATTGCTAGACTTATTTCTCCCACTGTACAGCGGGCCCGAGCAGCTTCAACGGCCAAAGCAAGAAGATTTTCTTTGCCGGCAGCTCCCTATAAGGCCATCCGGTCTCAGAAATCTCATTGTAATGAAGGCTAGCATACTTTGGTAAGGGCTTCAAGAGTTCGATCCACAGCATGATGATCTCTTGAATTACGTAGTTGTTCTAACCTATGAAATTGTGTTTCAGCGACTTTTTTGTTGTCTACTTTTAGCACTTCAAATTGTGTTTTCTGAAAAAGGTGAAAATTGCATGAATGAATTTTGATGCCTGTAAGCAATAGCACCTCATCTGTTAGATACTTATTAACACCAACAATCACATCTTTGCCCGAATCGATTCGAGCTTGTTTTTTAGCAGCAGATTCTTCAATTTTTGTTTTTGCCATGCCACTTGCTACTGCTTTGGCCATTCCACCAAGTTCGTCAACTTCGGCTATGATCTGCAAGCGAATTAAGAGGAATAAGAAAGCTAGAGAGGTCTCTGAGCCACTCAAGATTCCAACGTCTATAGTCTAATCCCAGATGGAGGCGGATGGCCGCATAAGCTAAGTGCGCGTTGCGCAGCGCTGCATCGCGTTTCAGCAATGATGGCTTCCGTAGCCGGTTCGCACGGCTTCGCATAAATATATTTCGCCATAGTCCTGGGCTAGACCTTGCTATAAGATGGGACTCAATTAGGAAATGATGGAACGAAGACGTAGGGAGTATAAGATTTTTCAAAAATTTCGACCCCGCTGAAATGATTGTCCTATGTATTATGTACGAAGTGAAAATATCAAACTAACTTTTCTTGCTTTTTGATAAATTTCGTCCGTCAATGACTCGATCAGATAGGACCCTCCCCATGGATCAGCAACCTTAATGTTACCTTTGGGATAATATAACGTCATCTGAGGGATCTCCAAACCTTGCAGATTCCACTCTCTTCCTGAATTATGATTTGAGTGTTTCGGGCAATATGTGCAGACGTTTTCGTAGGCAAAGCTATCGCTTCATCGAACGAGTTTGTGTGAAGTGATTGTGTTCCACCAAACACAGCAGCCAGCGCTTCGATAGTTGTTCGGACGATGTTGTTGTACGGATCCTGCAGGTTAGCTTCATGGATTTGCCTAGAAATTACTGCAAAAAGGGGGTCGCACCTGCTCTGTGAGCGACCATCCACTAGTTTGTGAATGAGTACGCAGTAAGAGTGACTTCTTCTTCTTCGGCTTGAATCGCTGTTGCATGATTTCAGCCCAAAGACGGCGAGCAGCTCGCATTTTTGCTATTTCCTGTAATTTTCTTGCTTTGGCAGCGCATAGAGTTGTGCTGTGTCGGCGCCATTCCAGATAGCTATGCCGAAACCCACGTGGACGCGCGCCGTGCGGATTGTGCCGGCACGGCGTCGGAACGGCAGTGGCACGAAGGTGGCACAGTGTCAACACAGAGCAAGTCTAAACGCTGCCTTATTTACTTACCATATAGAAATTCATGCTGATGCCCCAGAAGAAGCTGAGACGAGGTGCAAACGAGTCAATGCTCAGTCCAGCGTCGATCCCCGTTTGACAGTACTGCAGACCATCGGCTATTGTGAAAGCCATCTCAAGAGCTGCGTCGGCTCCAGCTTCTTGCATATGATAGCCAGAAATTGAGATACAATTCCATTTTGGCATTTCTTTGCTGCTATAGGCGAAGATATCGCCTGAAGATTGTCATTGAAAACTTGATGAGGAGAGTCATAAATTTGAAGCACCCCACCAATTATACGCATCGATGGTTCTGGTGGATAGATGTATGTGTTACGGACCATAAACTCTTTAAGAATGTCGTTTTGAATAGTTCCTTTGAGATTTTTGCGCGCTACTCCCTAAATGTCATTCACATTTCGATAGAGATAGATAGCATGACTTGGAGTAAAGGTTTTCTGCAAAAAAGTACTTACTGCCTCTTCTGCAGCGACGATATACATTGCAAGGACGGGTATAACTGCTCCATTCATTGTCATCGAAACACTCATCTTTGATAGGTCAATCCCATCAAAAAGCTAAATAATTATACATCTTAGTCACTGTTATAGAGGCGTCCACCGTCCTCGTGCCATCGCCGTGCTAGCGCCGAGCCGTATTGTGGACGCACTGCGTATTGATTGATCGATCTCGCTGGCACACTTCTGGCACGGCGCTGGCATGGCACTAAAACGTTTCTGGGCGCGGCGAAATGGTCAGAATCTCAACGTACTTCTTTCATGTCTTCAACTGAATCCACAGCAACTCCAGCCATGCCAACATCTCCGGTTACTCTCGGATTATCCGAATCATAGCTATAGATATGTTTTTTGTCACCATTGGTATGGTTTGGGTAAATATGAAAACCCGGGTTTCTCACTTGAAAAAAGGCATTGACAAGCCCTAGCTGAAGCATTCTTGAGGTGCAGCTTATATACTTCATTCGTGGTCGAGTAGTCTGACTCTGACTTTCTCTCAGTACCGTTTCCGCGCTTACCCAACAGCGTGCCGAGTACGGTACTGGGCGAAGCTTGGGAGTCAGATTTCTCGGCTACCGATGCAGCTTTTGAGCTGCAACTTGAAGAATGGCTCAGCTATGCTCTTCCGAACTGTATTCCCATAAGAAGTCCGGGTACCCAAATTTGTATGGGCGGGTATAAAGTTACCCTCTATGGGTGGCGAGATCAAACGCTACGGAAAGTCCTTGTTGCCCAGCCGCTATATTTGCCTTGTAGAATTCGTTTGATTCCTTGACTGTTGAGAAGCCCGCATACTGCCTAATTGTCCATGGCCTTTGGGTATACATCGTCGGATAAGGCCCACGAGTATACGGATAGCATCCGGGCAACTGAATCCGTTTCTCAAAAGAACATTATGAATATGCAATTATCATGGACGACGGTATCACCTCATCAGGTCTTTCAGCATCACATTTTCTGTCCTCTTTGAGGTACAACGGTTTGATATTAATGCCTTCGGGTGTGTGCCATATGAGCGAATCCGGCTCTTTTCCTCTCATTGCTTTCTTTGCTATCTCTGACCATTTTTTGTTAATTGGCAGTGACTCGTAGGCAGTAGAGTATCGAAGAACTCGCAGGGCCTGAAAATCTCCATTTACTTCTTATGTTTAGAAAGTCATCTAAGTTCGAAAATGATGATGGTGTCTAGCTTAGCCTTCGTGAGTGAAGGACTCTATATCTTGCTGCAACAAACTGCGAACTTTATTTTGAATTCATAAATGCTCAGCTGGTGTAGATCATTTCAAAATATTTCTCACAAGTAGATTCTTTTCTGACAAGTGCAGCCTCTTTCTTTCATATTAGGATGTATCCCATTTTATGCGCAATCTTAATGTTCAAGTCACTCCCGTATACATCAAACTGAGCTCAGGAAGAACGAAGAAAGACTAAGCTGCGTGACAAAAGAATGAGGAGCTGTGATAACGCTCTTTAACAACCGTCAGTGGAAGGAGAAAAAACTTGAAGCCTGGAATGGCGATCCACTAGTACAGTGCATTCTCGAATTAGCGAACATTTTGCGGAAGTGCTGTGCATGAAGTTCTTTGTAAGTAGTACAGGAAAGCGGGTCTCAGAAGCAGCTGGAGTAAGACGGAGTTTGAAAAACTGCCGAAGAAACCTTTACGAAGTGGGAGAAATACTAATGGAGAGAAATACCGTCTTCTTTTCCCCTAGAAACAGAATCGACTGCGAGGAACTTCCACTTCTACTTCATCCACTGCTCACCATACTTTCGTGCTATAGTGCTGGACATAATTTTAGAGGCACTCTAGGAATTGTCGTAATTTTCGTTCTTGCCAATGAATCTTCTGAGACTTTGCTGTGTTGTGCGCATGTCAACTTACCATGACCCCTCAAAACGGCTCCCGGTCTTGTTGAGTTTTAACGGAGACGGAGAAAAACGAAAAAAAATTTGAAAAAGCCCTTTTTGAAAGCTGGACAAAAATATAAAGCCACCTGGTTTTTCTAATCACTATCGCATTCGTTGACTCTCAGACTTTTTTTGTACAATTACATCCCAAAATATGAAACATTTGCAACACCTACGGCCTGTCATCCTACGCAAATAGAAGCGATCACTGCATTTTTTGCTTTCAAAGCACCGAAAATCAATCTGCTTCAACAAACAACTGGTTTGAAGAGCTCGCAAGCTCTTGTTTTCAAATGATAATTATGGAATCTACTGACCCTTCTGGATAGATGAGGTGAAGAGCGCTTTCGTAAACTCTGAGTAATGGCTGATATGGACGGACAGACTCTAACTTCAACGTAGGCTTGTCACGCTTTTGCACCACAGAACTCACTTTGCAATGTCCACAAAGTGCTAAACTTGATTTATTAAGTACATTGCCTACATGGGAACGCAGCTTTCGCAACAACTCTCAGATTTTCCCTAACGATGAGGTAGCGATTTAGACCTGAAATACTTTTCACGAAAATTCCCTGCGAGCAGAAGATTCGATACAACCCTAGATCTCCTTATCCCTTTGTGTTTCATGTCATATTTCACCCGAAGAATGCTAAGAAGGCTAAGATTTTGAAGTTGTAAGCGTCTCCTGTTTTATCTCGTGATTTGAGTTGGCTATGATTGTGCAGGGTGCTCCACTGAACATTCAGTGTCAACTGCGGCTGAACCAGAGTGCTCAATCCCGATTTTTTCCTAGCCATGCGCACAAGTTAACTGTTGTATGGCTGTCGTAATGGCTACATTACAGCATTTTCTGTTGCTTGAAAATCTAGTTTTGTGGTGCAAAAGTGCGTCAACCCTATGGTGAGGTTAGAGTCTGTCCGTCCATGTCAGCGATTACTCACAGTTTACAAAAGCTCTCTTCACCTCATCTATCCAGAAGGGTCAGTAGATTCCATGATTATCATTTGAAATTAACAAGAGCTTGCGAGCTCTTCAAACCAGTTGTTTGTTGAAGCAGATTGACTTTTGGTGCTTTTGAAAGCAAAAAATGCAGTGATCGCTTCTATTTGCGTAGGATGACAGGCCATAGGTGTGCAAATGTTTCATATTTTGGGATGTAATTGTACAAAAAAATCTGAGATCAACGAATGCGATAGTGATTAGAAAAACCAGGTGGCTTTATAGTTTTGCCCAGCTTTCAAAAAGGGCTTTTTCGAATTTTTTCGTTTTTCTCCGTTGAAACTCAACAAGACCGGAAGCCGTTTTGAGGGGTCATGGTAGGGTGACATGCGCACAATACGGCAAAGTTTCAGACAGATTCATTGGCAAGAACGAAAATTACGACTATTTCTAGAGTGGCTTCATAATTATGTTCAGCACTGTATACCCAGTTGCTCTCTCTGAGGAGCATGGCGGATCCTTCTATCAAGATTCAGATATTGAAAACGACAGCTACAAGACCAGACCATCTTTCTATCCAGGTGAAGCGCATCGTTAAAGGCACCGTCCACCATAAGTTGAGGGTGTTGAGCTTTTGGCAGCATACAATAATAGGGCCCCCTATAAATCCAACGCCCAAGTCGCGGCACAAAATGTCGCTTTGGAAGCGAGAAAATCGCATCGGAATAGCGAAGATGCACGAGGACCTCCATCCATGTCCGCCCATTTGTGCGCGCCCAGCCAATCACTCCGGAAAGCCGGCTTGTGGGTTCTCCGGAACGGGATTGTTGGGGTTTTCGCGCATTCCCGACTTCATATTCGGATTCAAGGACATGAGAAGGCCCTGAAACGACAAAAACATGGAAGTCGAAAATCTGGGTGGACGGTGCCTTTAAGAAATTCTTGCGTAACGGGTGACCTCTCATTAGTATAGAAGAGTATTTCGAGAAGCGAAGATTATAAGATTAAATGAGGAAAAACATTTTTGATACTAAACTCCAGTATGCCTTTATCGCTATAAGCCTTCCAAGAAAATCACCTCAATTCCATTGGATGAATAGGAAGAATGTTTTGAGCAGGAAGCATGTCCAATCTCGTAACCTGCCAGAAAGGCCGTCAAGCTCACGACGCTAGGAAAACTGATGACAGTTAGACTTTGAAAACGTTGGGGTTGATCTCTCGTAGAACAAAGCGTTTCTGAATGACATCTTCAGATGGTCGGGTAGCTCTGGGCTTGGAAGCTGATTGATCCCCGCTCTTTCTCTACTGATTGCAACCATCGATGGGCGAGTAGATTGTGGATAAAGTAAGGAAGAATGGATTGCCATCGCCAGGTATGTTGCGGTACTCCATAGAATGCCAGCAGTAGGGTCGGGCAGGACGGCCCAAATCAACCTTCTGGCTGCGTTATCTCCGCCGTGGACATCTGCCACAAAATGTGCGTCCCGACACTTAGTGCGTACCAGTTGACTGCGCGAGAGGACCATCCGAGGCACAACCTCCCCAAATCCACCGACTGGGTTGGATCATCTTGTAATATGAAAATGTTACCAAACAGATATCTGTTAATAAATATCATTGACTCCGTCTTTCGGTGCGGTAGGACGCCTTCTATGACAGTGCAATGTTCTAACGCTCCGATCGTTTAAATGGTACAATCGTGTGCACCGACTTCCACCATGAAAGGAATGTTATAGAAGAATGACGAGTTGTTTCTGCGAGCCTCATCTGCCTCAAATCCCCTCTATACATAACCTGTTTAGGGATCGTTCATACTGCGCACAAAGGCGCAAGAAGGCGCATGAAAGCGCATGAAGGCGCACAAAGGCGCACAAAGGCGCATGAAGGCGTGTGAGTGTGTGTGTCAAGAAGGTGTATGAGTGTATGTGTCGAGAGAAACGAGACGAGACGCGCCTTTGTGCGCCTTTGTGCGCCTTTGTGCGCCTTCATGCGCCTTCATGCGCCTTCGTGCGCCTTTGTGCGCGGTCTGAACGATCCCTTAAACCGAAGCAGGAAAAATGGTCGAAGCTCTGCACCGTTCCGCGCTGTATCGCGACAGCAAAGCAGCTGTCTATATCTTGACAGGATCCATAATCCATCCTGATTCTCGTTGAACTCTGGGGCAAAGTGCGCCGCTATGTCTAGCGAAGCAGGTGTAGCTCCACATCAAATGCGCATTCCCTCTTGAAACAGACATCTAACTCACCCTCAATGAGCGAGTTGATAACAGTCGAATCATATGAAGTGGAATGCAATGAATAATATCGACGAACTGGTAGAAGATACCAAGTTTATGAAATGAACTCTACTTCAAGTTGGGTGCTTATAACAACACCAGTGCGTCACCTCTGCTTCGCAGAGGTTCGCACCGGCTCTACTATCTAGGCCCTACTCATTCTTGTATAATGATGGCATTGGAACTTACCGAGCAATGCCGACTACTACGAACAAAATGTAAACAACTACTCATTTCGAAAGTTTTTTTATGTGAAATCGGTGATTTCGCGTGGATGAGACTTTTTGCAGGAGAACAAACGCAACTTTTTATGGGTTTTTGATTTTTCCATGGTCATGACAGTTGCAATAAGAATAGCAGTCACCGTGAGCTACATCTTTGTGCAAAAATCTCGTCAAATGGTCTGGTAAAACCTTGGCAAATTGACCATTTACGCAACCAATACTTTTGGCGCCGTTTTGTAAAGTAATGGGATTTTGATCACTTTTTTTGAGCCTAAGTTCATTCTTGCACATTTACTCGGCACAAACATCCACGACTCGGCAAAAAGTGGAATTACGGACCCAATTTTGAGGCCGAAATCCGAAGTGGATCCGTTTAACGCACAGTTTCTGAGAGATACACTTAATGAATTTTCTCGTGATTTTGCTTGTTGGACTTTCATGCGGATAGCATGCGCTGTGCAAAATTTGAGCCCAGGAGGTTGGCTGGAACACGTTCTACGAATTTCGTAACAGACACACTCTCAGACACACACACACACAAAGTCACGTAAACATCCTTAGCCCGTTATTATAAGTAATGATGGTCATCAAGCTTATCATGTATTTTCAACAGATAGAGCGATCCAAAATGTGAATGCAAAATGTGTATGCTGGTTTTAGTGTTTGAATTTTGAGCTTCCTTGATTTCTGACTTTCACATAGGGTTACTCTTTCAAGGCGCAGTGCAGCATCAGTTTCTGTTTGCAGAAATTGGCAAAAAATGCTATTACGTCATATGAATAAAAAAAAGAAGTTGGTATGATGACGCAAATCGGCTGAGTATTGTTTACCTGAAAAACCATCAAGGAGCCTTCCTAGACTGACTCATGTTACCGCTTTTCCGTGGATATGCTCTCCACATACTCACCACTGATACCATTATTTTAAAGTGTGAATCACCCACCCATAGTTTCGAAAGTAAAAATTGTGGGTATATAAGCCTCATTTGCCAACTTAATGTTGCTTCGTTCTCCTTGTAAATCTTACGATTTGTTCATCCTGCTGCCTTCCGATACGATATCCTTCTTTGATACTCGGTCAGCTTTATCTTTTTGAAAGTGACGGCTGCCTATTCAATAACTAGAAGTTACCTTTTCCTTTCCTAGAATTTAACTTTCTTTCAAATCATAAGAACTGGTTGATAATGTAGCACAAAATTTGCAATATCTTTGAATATGTGTTGGTTCCAGCCTTTCTCGAATATCTACTGAGTGCTTTCTTCATTTATATTTTCGATTGATAAAAAAGATCTTCGGTGCCTTGAAATTTGTAGGATCAGCACATAAACAAATTGTCTTCGAGCTCCTTTGTGTAATGAACGGGAGTGGAGGGGGGGGGGGGGAGAGGGAGGCACTTGGGGTATTTAAGTCCACCAAAGTGCTCTTCTTCAGCTTTTTGTAATTTTTTAGAGGGCCACTTAGTGTGAAGAGCTCTCTCAGCGTACATTACTAGGGGTGTTCTCCTGGTTTTCTGAGTTCTCGGTCACTGATTGTCTTGACCCCGAGAATATGATTTTATCAAAGACAAAGCCTCTAGTTCTTTTATAGATCAAAAACTGTGAAGGTACAGTAATTTATATGTAGGTCGCATTGTTTATCAAAGTACTTCGGTATGGATCAACATTGGCATTGATAAAAAGCGTTTCCATTAATAATATAATATTGCGCCATCACACGAAATATTAGGCTGGCGCGAATCCTTGCCCAATTCAAATGAGATTCAACAACCTCCATTACGTGGTTTCATGCTTTGTAATCAAAAAATCAAGGAAAAAGTTACGCTTTGTGACTGACTTTTTAACTCTTCTTGGCTCGTCTTGGAGCAAAGCTTCCAAAAGAATTCCAACCAAGGAGGAACTTCAGACTTTGTGGTTTTGAGTTTGTTGCTGAAAAATGCTAGTGTGCCGCTAAGTAGCCCCAAAGGAACTGGAAAAATGTATTTTACAGAATAATAGCCCATCCATCACTATGGCAGGTTTCAGTCTCACATAAAATTCAGAACAAATCCGCAAGAAACGTAATTTTAGAGAAATTTATTCCCTTATCATTGCAAGTCATTTTTTGCTCTGACACACAAAAAAGCTTCCCAATTTTTTGGGTGAGCACTAGGTCACATTTCCAATTTCGAGCTGTGTTTCTGCGGAGAAAAATGCAATAATAAGGTTACTTTGCTTGCTGAATGGAATTTTCACAATATTTAGTTTTTGCATTTGCATGCGAGACTGAAGCCCCCACAGTAATCTACGGACTACTACTAAACAGGTAATTTTTACCGATTAGTTAGGGTTAGGCTATATACCTCTTCAAAGGTTTTGTTCTCAAGCCCAGCCAGCAAGGAGTTGCGTTGGATCATTTTGATAAAGCGCAAACTTTCTTCTAATTTCTACGATGCACAAGATCATGAAGTTGGGCTTAAAATTGAAAAGTTATCGAGATTCCTTCGGATCACGCAGAATCTTCGTGCCAGTCTAATATATCTACTTCATAGAAAAACTCTGCCAGTAAGACTGCTCAAAAAAAGTAAATTGACGGCTATATAATCAGCAATTGAGAACAGTGAGAGCTTTGCGTGACGAATATCTTTAAGTGGATGCAATGCTATAAATCTGATGCCAACATTGATTCCAAGATTTCTAAAATCAGCTGAGTGGCTATTTTTAGTCTTTTCCCAGTGTCAGATGTACCATGAAAATTTATTGACAATAACGTGTCATATTTCTCGGTCCGCCGTTAACATAACATTCAACGGCTTTCACTATTTTTCAACAAACACATGCTCTCTGTTGTATAAATTCACCACACAGTGGCGCACACTCACTCATTCTACGATTTTTTTACAATCGCCGATAAGAGCTCTCGAATCTTTACTCTCTGTTATCAGGCAAAACGTGACGAAAGCAGAGCTGTCTGGTACGTATTTGACCAAGATCGGGTGCTTTTTTTCATTGAAAAATTGCAGAGCCTCCCTGTACTTAACCCTCTAGTTTCGACAAAATTTGGGTCCCTACGTGTTTCTCTCTTCGCAAAATTTTCTTACTGACAGAAACGACTTGTGATTGTGTAAAGCCAACTTTTTGAAGGGAAATGTGACTTTCTGCATTTACTCTTTGCGAAAAGAAACAGCTGACTAAGATCCTTCCGTGCTACTGTAATGATTGAGTGATGAAACCCTCAAAACTGATGGAAATACTCCCCTCCCCTTATTCATAAGCGTCTTCGATGTCATAGGATCAGTGGGAATTGCTTCGAAAAGATTGCTGTTTTCGTTCTATGCAAATTGTTTTTAAGGCTTGCTTTGTATCCTCGTGATATTGTATACTAATGGTGTTGTCCTTTACAACGGTTACTTGCTAATCTTTGCAGGCAAACAAATGGAAAGGTACACATCCTATTTTGAAGTCTTTATCAGACGTGTGACACATCCTTTCCTTCAATATTTACTACCGATGGAAATTCAAGACGACCCATAACCCATATATGGCAAAAATAAAAAAAAATAAAAATACAGGCAATAATAGGCAAATATACCAATTTATGGCTATATTTGCCTATTTTTAAGGCACTTTAAAATTCTCTGCATTTGTGTAAACTTGCGGAGATAAACTTCCTGCTTCTTTCTGCTTCCTTGTCCTCAAATCATTTGACGTTAGAACTAACTAAAAAAGAGAAAAAATAACGATTTGCGAACTTTGGAGTGCACTTGTGCGCGTCGGTACTCAAATTTCCAACACACTCAAACTGACTTGAGGACTTTTGCCAAATTAGTACCTGCATTTTGAGAATGCTTCAAATTTTCGACACTGCTAAATCAGCTTGATGAACCTTACCAAAAGAATGCTTTTTCTGAAAAACAATCACTTTTCTCTGCTTATCTGTCACATGTCTAGAACGAAGCGTTCTGTATCAAAATTTCCAAGTGAAATTGTGTGGCTATTTTTTGCCTATTCTCCCACACTGTTTCACAATGTCTTACATTTCGAATATGCATTTCATCGTATTTCACATCGTATGGCATCAATCACATGAGTGGAAACATCCTCTTAGTCATCAGTCCTTATAAAAACGATGAGCTCGATAGCGCTATATTTGTCATCCCCCGTGGTAGACGAAATCCAACACTTTCCAGCCATCTTTAGCTGCTAGCCAATCAGCCTTTGCGAAAATCCGTCTTTCGTTGCATAAAAAAGCTCAGTGTTATCTAAGGATTTTATGTTTCGCTAGCAATCCAGCGATGTACTCGTTTTCTTTCTGGAAAATTACTCCAGATGGTATTGCGACGAGGGGGGGCAGTCAACATGAACGATAGCTTGTGCCAGCCATATGCGTTGCGTAAGTCAAATATTTTTCAAATTTCATATTTACGCTACATTGATATTCAGGAGTTTCGAAAAAACGCTGGGAGCTCGGTAAGCCCTATCTCTTGCTGTTCGACACCATTTTTAATCCAATAAAGAACATATCGCTTCAGAAAATCAGACTTTATGCGCGGCATATTGACAAGCGCAGGAGTACAGTATGCTTATTTCCAGCTATCGTTCATCTTGGCATACACCCTTGCGACGATCTTGTCACGGTTACGCCGCAGCGGAGAATTTGTCGCAATCCTTTTTTCCTCAAGTATCAAGAAATTTACTGCAGCACAGGTGTGTTATCAAAGCAGATCTTTTGCTAAAGCATTAGATAATAAAATGTCGTTTTTTTGCAAATTTATTTTTTTCTGCATTTTATTGCCACAATTCAGTTGCTCTGGAAACTCAGAGGTAAATTCTGCTAGCCGTAACACA